CTGCCTGAGTCGGGGATGACTAAGATGTGACCCTCCCTACGACCCCCTGGTATTGTCTCACCTGCCTGAGTCGGGGATGACTAAGATGTGACCCTCCTACGACCCCCTGGTATTGTCTCACCTGCCTGAGTCGGGGATGACTAAGATGTGACCCTCCCTACGACCCCCTGGTATTGTCTCACCTGCCTGAGTCGGGGATGACTAAGATGTGACCCTCCCTACGACCCCCTGGTATTGTCTCACCTGCCTGAGTCGGGGATGACTAAGATGTGACCCTCCCTACGACCCCCTGGTATTGTCTCACCTGCCTGAGTCGGGGATGACTAAGATGTGACCCTCCCTACGACCCCCTGGTATTGTCTCACCTGCCTGAGTCGGGGATGACTAAGATGTGACCCTCCCTACGACCCCCTGGTATTGTCTCACCTGCCTGAGTCGGGGATGACTAAGATGTGACCCTCCCTACGACCCCCTGGTATTGTCTCACCTGCCTGAGTCGGGGATGACTAAGATGTGACCCTCCCTACGACCCCCTGGTATTGTCTCACCTGCCTGAGTCGGGGATGACTAAGATGTGACCCTCCCTACGACCCCCTGGTATTGTCTCACCTGCCTGAGTCGGGGATGACTAAGATGTGACCCTCCCTACGACCCCCTGGTATTGTCTCACCTGCCTGAGTCGGGGATGACTAAGATGTGACCCTCCCTACGACCCCCTGGTATTGTCTCACCTGCCTGAGTCGGGGATGACTAAGATGTGACCCTCCCTACGACCCCCTGGTATTGTCTCACCTGCCTGAGTCGGGGATGACTAAGATGTGACCCTCCCTACGACCCCCTGGTATTGTCTCACCTGCCTGAGTCGGGGATGACTAAGATGTGACCCTCCCTACGACCCCCTGGTATTGTCTCACCTGCCTGAGTCGGGGATGACTAAGATGTGACCCTCCCTACGACCCCCTGGTATTGTCTCACCTGCCTGAGTCGGGGATGACTAAGATGTGACCCTCCCTACGACCCCCTGGTATTGTCTCACCTGCCTGAGTCGGGGATGACTAAGATGTGACCCTCCCTACGACCCCCTGGTATTGTCTCACCTGCCTGAGTCGGGGATGACTAAGATGTGACCCTCCCTACGACCCCCTGGTATTGTCTCACCTGCCTGAGTCGGGGATGACTAAGATGTGACCCTCCCTACGACCCCCTGGTATTGTCTCACCTGCCTGAGTCGGGGATGACTAAGATGTGACCCTCCCTACGACCCCCTGGTATTGTCTCACCTGCCTGAGTCGGGGATGACTAAGATGTGACCCTCCCTACGACCCCCTGGTATTGTCTCACCTGCCTGAGTCGGGGATGACTAAGATGTGACCCTCCCTACGACCCCCTGGTATTGTCTCACCTGCCTGAGTCGGGGATGACTAAGATGTGACCCTCCCTACGACCCCCTGGTATTGTATCACCTGCCTGAGTCGGGGATGACTAAGATGTGACCCTCCCTACGACCCCCTGGTATTGTCTCACCTGCCTGAGTTGGGGATGACTAAGATGTGACCCTCCCTACGACCCCCTGGTATTGTCTCACCTGCCTGAGTCGGGGATGACTAAGATGTGACCCTCCCTACGACCCCCTGGTATTGTCTCACCTGCCTGAGTCGGGGATGACTAAGATGTGACCCTCCCTACGACCCCCTGGTATTGTCTCACCTGCCTGAGTCGGGGATGACTAAGATGTGACCCTCCCTACGACCCCCTGGTATAGTCTCACCTGCCTGAGTCGGGGATTACTAAGATGTGACCCTCCCTACGACCCCCTGGTATTGTCTCCCCTGCTGGCCCTGTTACCACATTTGCATCTTCCTCCTCCTCCTCGTCCGCATCGTACAGTCTCACTCTCCTACTGACCTGCCTGTACTGGATAATTATCATCACCACTGCGCATACCATAGCAACCCAGATTAATACCAGCACAATCCAGTCTTCTGTTGCCAAACAGTTCGCCGCAAAAGGGGTTTGATGTAGGTGGCCGGTCTTTTCGAGGCGGTAGCAATTGGCCTTTGTCACTCCTGTCAAGGCCCGTATCCAACACGCAACGAACCGAATGATGTTGCAGATAGATTTGAGACCTAGTGTAATGTATAGCAGAAGGAAGAAGACCTTATCCAACATCTTTGTTAAGATGTGCGTCATTTGATAGGGAATGAATTGGAGGTTGAAGATGATACCTATAATCCCAGATATTGCTCCTAAAGTAACTTTAACGGTTACAGACCAGTCAAACATTACAATGTACTTCTCCACAAAAAAGAACTGGAGGAAGAGCTGGATACAATCCGTACATACCAGGCTCATCACACAGTGGGCTGGGTAAATGAACGTTCCTTTCTTTATTGCCATTATTGTGAAAAGGTTTACATTCCTAACCCTGATGGCCTCCAGGGACATGTCAATGTTGGGATCTATCTCATCTCTCTTTAGCTGCATGGGCCGTGGTCCTGTTTTAGGCGGTCTGGTGAACTCTCCCTCGTGCTCCTCTCGAACTAGTCCGAACCTGATCCGCTCCTCCTCAGACAGAACGTAGAGTGAGTCTCCGAAGTTACTCTCTCTTCCAGGTACCCTTCTAGCGAGCCTCTCGTTGATAATCACGATTGGTAGGTCGTCATCATAGTCCTGATGTCCGTCACTCTCCATTCGGTCCATACCTTGGCCCTTCAGGTCGTTCAGTGATCCAAATATGAGGGCTCCTAAAGCTATATTCTTCGCAAGGCCAATATAACTGAAAACCATCATGGCATCCAGTGCATAGCCGTTCCTAATAACCTTGTAGTGAAGAATTGTGTGGAATGTAATCTCCATTTTGTAATAGTAGTAGGAATCAAAACCTAAGCAAACTATGTCGTGTGCCATAATGATAAATGGCATGTAAAACCATTTAATGACAAATATCCACGCCCGGAATACAGGCGTGGGCTCCAGGATAAAGGTACCTATTTTCTGGTAGGTGATGGAATTATGGCTAGGAAGGAACTTTAGATATTTCTGGTATTTAAGCCTGCCTCTTTTGGCGACAGCTTTAAAGCCGGTAGCCCAGCCCAGAAAGGCTATCCAGAAGAAGTTGAGGATGATCGGGAGCCAGGAAAAGAAGATGACTGTGTTCTTTGCGATGCGTGTCTCCCATCTCTGTGTCACGTTACAGAACGTTACTTTGTTGGTGCCTAGTTGGACCATGTCCGGACAGATGTTTGGTTTTTTCTTTGCACTTGCCGTCGGGATAAGAAAGAGGAATGTCAATAGTAGTAGTGATGTGTAGTACATTTTTGTCGTTCTTACTAGATACGATAGGATGTGTTATTTTCCAAAGAATGTGTTATAAATATGTCATCATTGATTAGTCGTAGAGTTTAAAATTGTTGTGAAGTAAGTGTTGAAAATGTTTATTGTTTAAATTCTTCACACAATAATAACAAATCCGAAATGTACTTTAACCCGCGTTCTTTAATGTGGTTAAAGTGATACCAGTAGATTGCAGTACAACAAAATAACAAATCTTTCGTTGAACCAAGCGAATGTGATACTAGTAGATACAGAGCAGCAAATACAGAACAGCAAATACAGAGCAGTAACTCTTTTTAGCTAAATAACTGAGGTCTTAACGAGTTTGCTTTGTGCCACCACGTCGTCGTTGTCATTATAGATGGTGGATTTGAGCTGCCGATATTTGTGCGCATCTTTTGGTCTTGTCTTGCTGGATATTGTTATCTACGGTGACTTCCATGTGGTGTTACCATGGTGACTCAAACACTCTGCATTGACAGCGATAAAATTGCTTCTTTTCACCAGTTCGATATATATAATGCTGAGATCTACGGTGACTTTTATGACTCAAACACTCTGCATTGACAGCGATAAAATTGCTTCTTTTCACCAGTTCGATATATAACGCTGAGATCTATAAAAAGCTCCACAATTCATCATATTGATGTTGTGCTGCTTGATAAATGTTCACCACGTGACTTATGACGTCATAACCAGATCATTGTCACGTGATTGGTGACGAAACAGACTGATGGTTTTGAAAAACTCTAACATTGTGCTGGACCTTTAATCTATAAAATATGTCTTAAAAATGCTTACTTAGTTTGTCAGACTATTGTAATAAACAATTTTAAGTTTATCTTAATGAATTTTTAAAAACTTGGCACATTCTGCTCTTCCTTGATGTTTCGTATAGAAACAGTAAACAAGCGGAAGGTTTTAAAGTTTTCTCGTCAAGCATGATTCATCTAGTGTCAGTGATGTGGGCCACCTATAGTTAGAAGGATTAGAATCATGAAGACAACTACATTAAACTACACGATATCACTGACCCACTTATTACAGCTAATGTCCTATAACAATTGAAAAGAGCACATCGTTAATCCACCCTGTATGTTCAATCTCACATTACAGCTGTGCTTACTGTACGGAGGTGGCTGGCTGGCAGCCTCACATTACAGCTGTGCTTACTGTACGGAGGTGGCTGGCTGGCAGCTCCCCAACTCTCCGACCTGGGCCACCCTCATGACGTTTCTACCGAGGCTACCCTCCAAACTTAATTATACTTTAATATGTTAACAAGCGCTTATATAATTAAACTGGGCTGAGAGAATTGCAAGTTAGAGTGTATTGAGTGACATGGTTGTCATGGTTACCGAGTGTAGAATTACCTCTTAACTCGGTATGTATGGCATAATTTGATGCAATTTCTCGAATCTAATAGCTCTTTCTCAAACGTATCATGATTCAACTATTGTCCTGGGCAACGTTAACTTTCCTTACTGTATTAGAAATTATTCAATACTGTCTGGAAATTGGTATGTGAATTGATGGCAATCCTAATGATTTGTAGCTACGCTATTTGATAACATACTTAAACTATTAATTGGTTATGATAGCTGTAAAAGCTGTAAAATTCACAGTATCATTTTTAAATACGTAGCAACTAAATCTTAACTTTTCAGGACGGCGGGGCCCATTACCTGGCAACACGGGAGACAGTAGCGATGTGCAGTAAGGGTACCACAGGGCTACAGACTTGGCAAGCTTGTTTAGCTATGTGCCAGTGGGCCACTGAAAACTGCCACATTTTTCAGAACAAGTCAGTAGAAAAGTGTTTCTATAGCGGTGCAAGTTTTTTATTTACTACCATCATAAATGTTAATCAAACGTGCACTGGTGCACTGGTACTAGCCAACCAGATTTACATTTCTGACTAATAAAAATGTTCGACCCAAGCTGGTTTAGGGATTACAGTTTCTATTTTAAACCATTGGTACCCCTACAGAAAGGTACTAGAGCTGGGTTGTGGTGTGGGACTGTTAGGAGGTGTTATATCACACATGTGTGATCAAGTCACACTGACTGACCACCACCAATCTGTTCTGCGCGCCGCACAGCACACACTTGATATCAACAATATTAATAATGGGAACGTTTCTCCTCTGGACTGGACCAGGATTGGCGATGTTGAGGATGAGGTTGATGTTGTTGTCGCTGCAGGTACTGTCGATAACTCGATTTAGCCGAATGATATAAACGATGTTGTGGTTTTGATCGTTGCAATTATAACTAGAGCTATTCTTCGTTTAGTTAGTTACACCTTTAACTTTTCAGATGTTGTGTTCGATCGAACAATACTGCCCCATTTGGTGAAAACGATCAAGAACAAGCTGGGGTATTTTTAAAATTTTTAAATGAAACTTAATTAAAGTGTTTAAATATTGTGTTACTTTCGTAGTTGCTTTTCACAGTTAAGTTAGGTGTCCAGTTATGTATTTATTTTTGGCTTATTTTAGTTAAAACGGCGCGGCGGTCTGGGCTTGATTCATGCAACGCGCGAACAATTTGTCTGTTTACCAATCACAACTTTTAAGCAGTGAGTGTGGTAGTTTCAAACGTACCGCGCGCGGCTTCGCATGGCTAATATAATATATTATTTTATTACATACCCTGGCCTGATTATAATTTAATAAATGCATTTTCCTATTGCATGGTATCACTAACTTCGCTGTGAACATTAAAATGCAGCCAGGTAGATAAAAAAACTGACTGCAGCCGTTTAAATTCCAAATTGAATCGAATACTAGATGGCCGCTATAATTTATATTAAGTCGATAATAAAACGCGCGTTTCGGTTTTGAACAGGTCGCGCACAATCTATACTGGGGACCTAAAACACGGCGACATAGTACAATAGGACGTGATGAATACTTTAACTTTGTTTAATTTCTAATCGCTCTTGAGTCTTGCTTGAGCTCGAATGTGGTTAGTCGTTGAACCCGGTATTCCCGAAGTCTACTCAGTAGAGTAATCGGGTAAACATAACGACCATTCTAAGTGAACACTGTACGCCACAGTAATATAACAACAAGGCCAGGGATCCACTATTTACAGCGTTTCAAAATCGTACGACCTTCAATGTATTATATTATGCCCGATTGAGATAGTCAATGATTCACGATGCTTATTGCTTAAACCATAGATCTCACTGACACTATATAAGAGATCTCACTATATCATAACATTACATTTTGCCACAGCTCTCCAACGGGCAGAGACAAAGTAGCCTACGTCTGCTCAACCATCAGAAATAAGGACACCTACAATACTTTCATCGAGGAAATCAACGATCAAGGACTTGCAATTGACAATCTAGATGTATCTGGACTAAAGTCGGTGTATTTTTCTGGTACGGATGTTATTAGACTTATAAAATTACGATTAACCATATAGTATAGGGTTTGGATTGTGTGATATTTGTGGATGAGGAGTTTGCAGTTTGCACATTGAATTATCGCATTCTTGGGTCTTGCCATGACAACTAGTTCTTTTTTAAAATATTTTAAGATGACTAAATTTCATTATTTTATTATAATGCAACGGTTTACTAATAATTATACTATACGAAATGAATTAATTATTTGTGGATTTGGATGCAGAGATTACTCTTATTATTAATGAAAAATTGGTTTAAAAATTTCAACACACAAAAACTTTAAATTAAAAACAGAAATGCTAATTATTTACAAAATAAATCTAAATCGTGAACAGCTGGAAAACGCAGCTGAAAAATGTAAGTAAGACACTTAAATCTCAAATCACTCTTACTGCAAATCAAAATTTACTGGTCAGAAATAACGTTACAAACATTTGTACGGTTATTTAACGTGCTGCAACTTCTAATAAAGACATTTCAATAATCAAACTAATCGATTTTTATCAACCAACTGATTTGAAAGATCATCATTCATCTTGGAAAATTCAATATAAGGACAAATTGAAGAGTCTTATCTTTTTATCGTCGGTCCAGCCGAATGCAAGATTTTCGTTGGTAGACTAGATTGAGAGTCTGATGTTAAAGTTAAACTATGCTATCTTCCAGATTATCACTGATATAATAGCCACGAACAACAGTATTATCACGGCCCAATAACCTGAAAATAACTGATGTTAGCTTATCACATTGGTATTATAGGTTGCTATGATTATCTCATTAGCAATTAAGCAATAGTTTAGTGTAATCGAAATTTTCAAGCACGTATCCCCTGCAATTAAGAAGCGAACATCAATTATAAAATATGGAAATTATACATGACTTTCGATAAGTACGGATGTTTCCGCCTTCTTTCATGGTATAAAATGTTCTAGTTGAATTTTCAAGAACTAGAATAAAACAAACAGAATGTCTTTTGTAATAAATGTGAACTCGTAAAAACTAATAAGTTAAAACATGAAATGTATAATGATGTTAAACAGTTTTTCGTCATCCTATAAAGGAAAGTATAAACATATCAGGAGTATTTTGACAACTGTCTTCATCAAGTTACCACATCTTTGTGTATTGAGATCCAAATATAAATCGGACACCGCTTTATTTACATTCAACAATGCTAACCTTATCTAAAACCCTCTTCACCACTTTCAAATGTTGGTTAATTGGCCCCTCATCTTCGTAGACAAGAGAAGTCTGTAAGTGTTTCAAATCATTAAAACTAGCCTCTCTTAAAGTAACGTCCCTCAGAAAATAGTCCCAGTTCTGCTCGCAAAACAGCCTAGTCTCCTGAACTCTTATCATAACCTTATCCACTCTCAGATAATGCCTAAGTAGCACGAGGATGAAGGTAGGCATCACTCTGCATTTAACAACTAGTTTACTGCTCCCATTGTCTGCTAACTCGTCTTCAAACATGACCAGTTCGGTGTGGTGAAGGATTTTATCCCTCCGCAGTAATTTCTCCTGATCTGGCTCCTGGGTAGTTGAAGATGCAGATAGCTCGTGAGTGTCTGAGTTGAGAAGCGTGCCCGAGTATGCTGTACTGAAGGTCCAATCGAATGGTTTGGGAGTGTTCTTAATGTGGGAGCTGTCCTGGCGTTTTGCCAGCCATTCCTGGGAATACGACACTTTGATGATATCTTGTTTATCGTCTACTAGTTTTAAAGCGTCCAGTGTGTTGAGCTGGACCTTGCAACCACTGCTGACATGTGTCAGAGTCAACACGTTTCTGTCGAATGTCATCTCAGGTAAATCTGGGATTTTCAAAGTTTCGGCGTATAAACAGTGGTTGCACTGAACGCCCCCGTTACATTTACACTGACTTCGCAGAATGTGGGACTGAGTCGTTTGGAGCGACCAGTTCCCCAAATCTATCTTCTCTTCTACAGCAGGCCGGATCGGAAGGTCTTTGCCTCGGACAGCCATTCTAAGATGGATTGCGTTGATCGGAATACAGTACGATTTTATAATCTATACATTGTCTTAACGTTCATGAAACTATGAAAGAGATTTAGTGATGAAAATTAACTCGTGACAGGTTACAAAAGCTTATCACACGACGAAACGTCGACTAAATTTCTTATTTTATATTTTATGAGTTAATATTTGTTGCCCAATGAGGCAATGAGGCCACAGAATTTGATAGTTTCTTTGAGGCATTATAAAATGATAGGGTAAATCTGTCATTGAGCCTGTCACAGTTTTGATCAACAGAAAATTTTCTCCGTGCATGTTGCATGGACAATCTTAAATGGTCGCTAAAACGTATCAACAGTTATTCGGTAAGAACAGTTCCTATTGTGAAACGCGCGACACCTGCGCGCACTTTATAATTGACAATACAGCGCTAAGACTTCGGCTACAATTTGAATGCGTGTGCGCTGAAGTTCATTTTAAAATTCATCCAATTACCCTCATTGTTCAACATTTTGTCAGCATCACTGAAGGAAATCTAGATCCGAATAAATATGCATGATCAGTTCTCACGAAGACGCTCAAATAAATAACCGAATAAATAAGATACATGTCGTTCACATTATATTCGATCTTATCTGGGCGACATTCACAACGCTTTTTTTAAATGATAGAATTCTTCTTCGCTTAGGATATCGTAAACTGTAATTAAAATTAGTTTCAAAGTTATAAAGATAACTTAAAAGAAATAAATATTGAGGCAACAACAACAACAACAACTAATACTGAATCATTTAAAACGCCACAAAACTTGACACTAACATGGCACATTAAACTTCACTATTGCAACCTAACCAGTAACATGTTTCCTATAATGAACCATCAATCTCTTGCTCGTACTGAAACTCATTTGACACTCATCACAGTTCCATACCCTACTTTCTGGATGGTACCTCTGACAATGAGCAGACAGCCGGCTCTGGGAAGGGTACGTTTTCTTGCAGTATGAGCAGGTAAACTCCTTGGTTAGACGATGTGATGACATGTGCAATGTAAGTCCCCATTTATCAGCCAGTACTTTGTTACACACTGTACATTTGAAAGCGTCTTTCTTGCGGTGTCTGAGAGTATGTTTGGTAAGCCAGCGTGGGGTTGGTGTCGAATAACTACAGCCTGCTTCCTGACATCGGTACATTACGCTCTCTTCTGATTTTGTGCCAGAGTCGGTGGTATTTTTAGAGCCTGATTTTTCTTTATCGGCTGATTTTTCACTTTCTTCTAATTTAGAGGGCGCTTCAGTTTGGTTATTATCATTATCCTGAGAACCGCTACTCTCCGTAGAATCAGTCTGAGAGATGCTCCCCCCACTGCTCCCTGTCCCACCATGATCTGCAACACTGTCCAATCCTTGTAGATCACTAAACATATCCCTAAACCAGCTCTCCACATCAACATCGCTAGTGTAGTCAGCCGTGTAACACATCTCTGTTTTGTGATCCTTTAACATGTGCGCCTCCAAGTTGTACTGCTCCAGGTACATGGCTACACAAAGTGGGCATTTCACCACGTTAACATGGTGAGACAAGTGTTCCCTAATATTATCAGGGGGCAAGTGTTCATAGCAGTCTTTATACAGACACTTCAAGTAAACACAGTGAGATTGTCTGTGTTTCTGGATGTCGGCGTTTGTGATGAAAGTTTCCCCACAAACAGAACACATCAGTAAAAGACGACATTTTCGCTGGTGAACTTTGAGGTTTTCAAGACGACTGAAAGTGTTGTAACAAAGTTCACAGTAGAACTGCTTGGGTCCGTGAGTACGGAGGTGTCTCTTCATATGGGCCGGATAGTAAAAAGATTTGTTACAATTCTTATAGATACACGTGAACCACTTCAAGTTAAGATGGGTTGTGTCCATGTGGTAGGTCAGCTGAGCGGGCTTTGTGTACGACTTGTTGCACCCGGGCGCAGTACACTCGTAAAGTTTAGTAAGTCTCCTGCGGCGCCCCTTACACCTCAACTGTGATAACTGATGCATGTCATCATCATCGTTATCTAGCATAGTACTGTAATCGTCCGTGTTAAAATCATAGTAATCGTTAGAATCAGAGACTGATGATAGTAGTGGGGAGGTAGCGCACGGTATCTGCTCCACCTCCACTGGGGTGGTTACCCCAGAGTTCTCTATGTAGCTCGTACTAGTGGAGATGTCGGACATACCTAGCCTACAAGAATTTATTATTGGTTAGTATCGTTGTTTAATTAGAAGGAAATGTTGCTGGCCTTTTTTTCAGGGGGCTATACACGGACGTGATTCGCTCCCTGTCGGTAGCAACATTTCCATGTGATGGTGTTTTCAACTGTTTTTCTAAACAACTTACCACAGACATTTCCTGCTCTTGCCGACACGTGGTTGATAGCACGTACTTGACGGTTTATCCTGTTTCCGGTTTCGTCTGTTTTGTCTGTTATCTCTTCAATAAGCTCTGAAATAAAATTAATTTACAGAAAAAAAATTTTAAAAGTATTTCTTGAGTTTGATAGGTCAATATTTGAAGCTGATTTGTTAATTGCAGTCACGTGTCAAAAATATAAGCGTCACCAGACTCCACATTAATGATCTACAGGGTGCTCAAGAGTCCAAGACACGTGGGGAAACTTTGAGTGTTGAGCGTATAACAAATGATGCAACATCTCAACATGTTTTTTGTAATTACAACTGGTAGCTTTTATGGGCTTTATGTATTAGCAAACTCAATGTAGCAAAATATGGAGCATTATAATGATCATTAAGTAAAAGTCGAAGGTGTTTATTGAGTCCACTCTCAGGACTAAAGGTATTCGTACCAGGGGAGGATGTTATTCTCTATTATGCACTTTTCTGCTCATAAAGTATCTGCTTTAAACCTCTCTAAAAATACTGTGTGAGCTGCTGAACTCAACCAATCTGCTCCTCCTTAAAATGGAGAATCACATTTTAAATTTGGACACGAATCTTATAACACACCCTGCATGCAATCGTACAGTTAATAAATCTTTGGATGATCCAATAAAAGTAGGAGTAACAAAAGTAATAATGTAATTTAAGGAACGAACCGTTCTGTCCGTCAATCTCATCCCCAATTGTGAGTCCTATCTCTTTCTGTCTCTTGACAATGTTTGATATTCTGGCAAGACCCTCATCTTGAACTGTAATAATACCACCAGTGAGAAATATGGCAGAAATTCAAAAACACTGTTAACTAGACAACTATTACAACTATGTAATGGGAGATCTCTATTATATACCGCAATTGGGGTACCAAAAATTTTTGGAAAATTCGCGTAGCACAGACTTCAGTGTATAATACATTCTGTCATCAACCGGAGATTTGGCGCCGTTTCGACGTCGATTCATACAATATTTTAGACAAAAGTATGTCAATAGACCCCCAACTCAAGTTAGGGGCCCTTAACTTTGGTAAGAATTTTTCTTCCCGGCACTCTGCACACACTCTACCTAAGCGAGTTCGCTACGCTCGCAATGTCGACTCGTCAGGGATAGCGCGGTGAGTGAAACAGTTATCAGGCATTTAGAGCTGGGCCCCAAGGACTATACAAATAGATTCGACGTATAACTAAAGAACTAAACAGCAAACCACTCTCTAATCTGATCACTGTGCATAGTAACTTAAACTAGAAATGTAACTTCTGCCACCCTCTAATCATCCAGGGAAGCTTCATCACCTCCCACTAGGAAGCTTCCGTTTCCCGGTACTATGGTGCCAATAATGAGACTACAGGTCTGTATAGAACTATAAGTAAACAACTATAACTATAGAACTATAACTAAACATGTACTTGTTAAGCCCTGTAGAGAAGGATATATTATGATTATCAAAATTGGAGGAGTGTAAAGGAACAGATAAACAGATAAACAAGTTGTTTTACCGGCCATGGCTTGCTGCTGCTGAGATTGTAATTCTCTATTTGAGTAGCCTTGTGTTCGTTCATTCTCCTCCGGCTGGTACCCTTTATTTGAACTGAAGATATCAATTAAGATATTAAGATAATAATTAAGATATTAATTAGTTTTGAATAATAATTCTGCATGGGTTTCATGTTGTTAGTGACTTTTAATTTTGTGGCTTAAAACAATGCATTTTTCTATGTAACAGATGATAGTGAATCTAGACGTGTACAAATGTGTCAGTTTGCTTGTAGCCTAACCTAATACCTACAATTAGTATAATCTGTGGCACAGTCACAGTTCAGTTTCAATAAACACACTCTGTAACTCTTTAACTTTACTTTATCAGTTCAATATCCTCCAATATCGCTTGATCCAGTCGAGAAAGAATTGGAATCTATGTAAAACTAGTTTACTGACTTTAGTATTTTGATAACCACTAACAAGATATTGTTTACTTATCTATTACAATATGAGATAAGCTTACATTCCCCCTCCAAAAGGAGTTGCCCCAGATGCCCGCGTTTCTTCGAAGGATTTAGCTATTTGAATCTTCCTGATCTTTGCTTCATTCAACATATTATTCCTCCTATCGTACTCTTTTGGGGATCTGATGATGAAGACTAGATAATGGTTATTTCAATATGGTGTTTACTGTAGACACTTCATTACAGTGGAAAAACCAGATATGATATTTGAACCTCGCCCTCACAGTTTAAACGTTGCAAAATAATTTTTTTAAACTAGCTACACTATGTGCTATGATTCACTTACAGTTTTTTAGAAGACTTGTCGCTTTGAAGCTCCCTTTGTAAGGCAGTCAAATCGTGGTTGAAATTGTTTTGTGCTTGTCTGATTCTGCTGGAAATCTGAGGAAATAATTCAGTACATTTTTCATTTGAGTGAACAAAATAACTCGTTGATCTAGTCATCAAGTCATTGTAAAAACACATACTTAGCCCGAACTCTGAATTCAAATCAAATCTTAATACTGCAAGTCTTAACGTACGTGTTTTTAACCCCACATAACAATGTATAATTGAATTGCAATATATCATAATATATAGATATATCTACAGTGGATTAATGATAGTAAATCAAATAAAAAACCTTGAGCCCCTCGCCGCCGCCACCAGTAACCCTGTTTCGTTCTGCAATAAGTTCCATGATGGCATCTCCAGCTTGCTCTAATGCTCTGTACTCGCCCACCCAATTATCCATACCCATCCTACCAACTCAGGAATGTAAGATAAATACCTTATGTAGCTATTTGGGGTGAATATACTTTATACAACATCCGGATATATAATTATATAAGCAGTTAAATTTGGGTTATACGATACTTTATAAGCAGGCTTATTAAGAAATAACTTTGTTTTTGAGACGATTTGTGAGATTTATCTATTAGAAGCAGTGATAAAAGCCGTCATTAAGCTCTAGAGAAAGAACTTGCGGTTAATCATAAACTCACAAAAATAGATAATATTAGGTCAATCAATCACAACATTCAATGCTCTTAAATGAAAAACTAATAATCATTCAAAACAAGAATTTGCCTCATACTTGTAAAAAATGATTTAAAATATGCTAGTCAAATAAATGGTCGTATGGTTCGCTTGCGAAAATAGCAATTAATATGATGATTTGATAAAGAAAACTTATTATTATATAAGAAAAGGTCCATCATTGAATACTGGGAACTGCTGATAGTGCTCTTAAAACACCTTCAATACAGCTCAGTCAACTACAGACCAGTCCACCGCTAAATCACTCTAAAAGTCTTAAAAGCTTAAATTTATAATATGCACGATAGGCGTGGGTAATAGTTAGGGACGATCCACCTTTTTGCTCTAAAATTAAAACTAGACTGGAGAGAAATAATTGATTGTTTAATCTATGCAATGTATGTATCTAAATGGGTATTTTCAAACAACGTTCATATGATTTACAATAATAATTTTCGGATTTATTTTATTATTAATGCAGTTTTTAAAGAATATGGATATCATTCTTCCCACCATTACCAACGTCTACGTGCTGCAGATCCTAAGTTACATTATTTCATTTCAAGATTAGTTAAGAGAGCGCTGCTGTGATTATCATGTGAATATAATACATAATTATTCAAATTTCTTGTTTTAGGGCCTAAAATCTATCAAGATACTGTAACAAGATAACAATTAAACAACTTCACAATATGGTACTACAAATCATGAAACCCGTGACATGATGATAAACTCAAGATAATCAATAATCATCAGCAAGTAAAATAGCTATTATCACATACAGAACACACTTTAAAACATTGTCAACATTTTATCAATATTATATTGGTTCATATTGAAACAATTATCAATCCGCATAAGATAAAATGGCCAAAATGTGCCCGAACGAATTAAAATTAAATGACCTGTCTTATTGAGGGATCATACTTTTTAAGCATGGAAATTGGAAACATGTTTTTTTCTAACTTGATAAGGGCGTCAAAGGGGGGGGGGGGGGGGGGAACCCCCATCAATGTACATACCCGTTTGACCAAAAGTTGAGAATTAAATGGGCAATGGGGTTGGAATAACCAGCGGTTAATCAGGGTTTTACTGTATGATTTAAGCCATCCTAGGGGGATGCGATAGGGATAATCTTACGCTAGAGTATTTAATAATAACTGTGTGTAAAATGGCTTACGGAGGGAATAGAGCTGAGGTGTCTAAAATTGCCATAATGTAGCTAACATATCTGAACGATCCCTTACTGGACTATATCATAGCACTAGAAAGACAGTTATAGTACTGTAACTGTCTAGTGTCTATACTACTATGGTACTATATATTATAGTATTATATAGTACTGTAGTGCTTTATAGTGCTAAATGATTCACAGTAGAAAATGTATCACAATGATGTATGAAGATTCTCAACAATAGTTAATAACACCTTTGGTAACACCTTTGGTAACACCTTGGTAACACCTTGGTAACACCTCGGACACCTGGGCTTTAATAATACAATGTATGAATATTTAATATATTTATGATTTTCTACACTGTAAATGATTTCACTTTGTGTGCATGATATAAACTGTGTATCCACTGTTCATGAACATTTAAATTAATATTATATCAAATTTCTATTGATTTCAAATTAGATCTATTCAATTTTCAGCAAACAGTCAACACATTTAAATATTAAGATTGGAGAAATGTCAAATTCCTACTCCAGACATAAATACAGGCCAATGCAATAAACCAAAAGATAACAGACCTCTTTCAAGATGACCCAATAAAAAAGACAGAACAGCCCTTGAATAAAATTTTCAATTTCGAACACTCCCCATAAAATGAATAATGTACTGAAAACATTGCATAATATAAAAACGTTTTTCAGTTGTCGAAGTTCGTTCCTTTGATGTTGAAGCAGATTGAAAAAACAAAGTTCCTTTCATAAATCATTCAAGAATAAGTTTTATCAAGTTTCATAAAAAATGAACATTCGTAAGCAATATTATAACCCGTTCGTTAAAACGAAGATCACGAAATTATAACTTTTCAACACTTTTCAACACTTTTCAAAACTTAATCACTCTGCAAGATGGGAGATTGAACAACATAGCAGCCTAAAAGATAAATTTTGGAGCAGCATAGTTATCAAGTGTAATCTTACAAGTTATGAAGTTATGAGTTGTTCTACCTCATCTATGTAAGCTGTGGAAACAGCTTGAGTCTGGCCTGTAGTAGTGGTATCACCTATTGGAGCACTTGTTACAGTAGCGCTGACCTGTGCTACATCATCCTGTTCCTTCCCTGTAACTGTGACTTTGCTTGGCATGGTCTGCAATTCAGTCAGTATGCTGGTATAAGACGAGCACGGTATTTGAACTGGAATCGCAATTCCAGGAGTGTGTTTCTTTCTGCAGCTCTTCTCATGAGAGGTTTTGTACAGTTTCAAGGCAAACCTTTTGTCACACCAATCACATTTGAAGTTCTTTATGCCACTGTGAAGGATCAGGTGTGTTTTAAAGCTACTCTTTTGCGAATACATTTGACCACAAAGCTTACACTGAAAAGGCTTCTCATTCTTATTTTTATTTCTCTGGGCAAAATCATCCAAATTCAAGAGGGTGTGCTGATCAGAAGCTTGGGGCTCGTCCTTAACATGATGGGGCCTACTTTGGTAGTGAGCAGTATTGAGATCCATCAAGTTGATGTGAACAGGGCCAGCCTGTTGAGTGTAGCCTCGTGGCAGAGAAGAGACATTGTAAGAGTTTGAGTTTGATATATCAGCAGCAGAGGAAAGTGATTTGAGATTTTCAGAGGTAAAATTTGAAATGGAGATCGGTGGACTTTGAAATTTGTTCTGATTCAAATTTGGCATAGGACTTGAAAAAACTTGAGGTATGTTTCCACTGTATTTGCCTCTTGCGTGATTTGATGGCTCTCCTGCTGCAGCCTCTGGTTTGGCTTTGCAACTTTTCTCATGGGTGGTCTTGTATATCTTTAGTGCAAATTGCTTACCACAATAAGAACAGTGAAAGTTCTTTTCTCCAGAGTGAAGAATCAAGTGGGTATTTAATGAACTTTTTTGAGTGAAACTGTTACCACACAAGTGGCACACATAGGGTTTCTCTTTTGTATGAACCCGCATGTGTACTTGAAGGCTACTGTTCGAAGCAAAAACTTTCCAGCAGACTGCACATTGTCTTTTCTTAGATAATGTTTTGGCATCCATCCTACAGAACCTGAATAAAATGAAATGTTTAAGTCGTTAATAAAAAATATTCCCTATGTTGTATTTGATCATATGTTATAAAATCATGGCTCCATAATATGTTTTTAGACGGCCCCAACGTTAATGTGGCTCTTGCTATGTGTTGGTTCAGCCGAATTAATTATTATGTAATCAAGTTTATTTTTCTCTTTTAGTTAGTTGTCATCCGGCCAAACATTAAGCAACTTATATTGCAGTTCCATTTATCAATTAGTATATCAAAATATGTCATTGTAATTTTGCATGGCTGAAATGTAACGCTTGATTTATATATATAATAATTAATTGAATTTTCAAATTTTAAAAAAAATATGAAGGATGTGTTTTAATTTTAAACATGAAGAGCTTCAAGAACATTTCATTTATTTTAGTTACAATCCTTAAAATAAATATAAGATAATATGCCATTTCCAGCCATTTTATAGTTAAGTTTAACAATTTTTATTATGATATTATTATTCATTGTAATATGGCAATAAAATTTAAATTTTGTTTTACTTAAAATTTTGTTTTACTTTATATCACCCACTTTACACATACATCATAGCTTCACCTTGACCTTGTTTAATTAGTCAATGTTGTTAGAGTCCTTACCAAGATGGCCTAACGTGTATGTGGCTCCTGCTATGTGTTGGTTCAGCCAAATTAATAAAACAAAATGGTTTAATAAAACAACATTTTATTTTATACCCACAATTAATTCATATTTAGTTCAAATATTTATAGTCAAAATAACCATTGGGCCGTCAGATCGAAACACCCCATATATGGTGATTGCAATCAGTGAAGAAGGTTTGTTAATGACGAAACAGAGATTAGAAGGAAAGTGGAAAAAATCCACAAACAATTCTCACACCCTCCTAGTGATAAACTGAAAGCATTGCTAAAAACTGCAGGATTTAAGAGACCTGAATACATGAAAGCAATTGATGAGGTACCCAGCAGTTGTAAAATATGTCTGATGTACAAGAAACCCAAACCAAGACCAGCGGTGGGCCTCCTAAGAGGAAAGGTGATCAACGAATGTGTTGCAATGGATCTCAAGAATGTTCCCGGTAATCCAAATGTGTATATTTTACATATAATAATATGATTGATTCGGTAACAATATATTCAGCAGCTAGAATAATCTACAATAAGAAGAAAAAGACAATCTTCCAAGAAATTTGCTCTGGATTTTTTTGAAAAAAAACTGAAAACTGATAGTACCAAGATTTTTCAATAGGCTTGGTACAACACTTTTCCGTGATCAAAACGGAGAAATGTGTCAAACAGTATATATACAATAAATTAATTCAAGTGTTGCAATTGGCAGAGCACAATACAGAGGTAACGGAAATTGTCCACTGCTACCAATCTCTACTATAATTCAGAGAATTATTTCTGATGTAGAATGTCTGTACGACCGCCCACGTGCAAATTAAATGAAAAATAGGAAGTTGCGTAGTAACCATGGTAACGGTGTTAAAAGTGCACTTGCACGTGCAAGGATTTGAGAGGGGCATTTTGATCAGTTTTTTTGTTATTACGTGGTGTTCAGTGCGAGCTATATTTTAATTGGCTGTATCTTTGGTTGTGATGGATATTTGTTGATGCTATAAAAACTGACTACCAAAAAAATAGAAACCTACTAGCTTCCTCCCTGTAACCACGGGCTTTCTAGTATTATATAATATGAAAATTTCTCTTTAGACTCTTAACTTGCGAACAAATAATTTTATAAATTATTCAAACAATATACACATAATATAGCAATGACCCTATATAAAATCAACCCTTTAAGAATTCAAAAAATTCCCTTAACAATCAAAAAATTTTTACCCTTAGCCTTGTGGCTCCAAGTTAAGATCTAGACTGTTTATATCAACAATGTTTTTTCTCGCACCTCTGTCTCCACGGAGAGAAATCACTTGCGAACAAATTGAAGCAGCAGACTTTAGGCTAGAAACTTTATTGAATTGAAATAATCATTCCACGTAACTACGTCTTCTTCAGTTCTCAAATTATTTGTTATATAGTAGTGTTGAAAGTATTAAAACCGATGCACAGTGCAAGGCAAGAATTTGCAAAGTGTGAAAGTAGCAACGAGATACGTAGAGCACTGCAAAGCCAAGTTCAGACAAGCAATGATGAGTATTGATACACATGCGGGTCGCGGGAGGTAAGGGAAGTAAGGGACAGAACTGGCATTCTCATATATCTCCAAAATATTCGTAACCAAAATGACAATCAATCTCCTGACAAATTTCTGTCGAAAAATTGCTACGACTCAAGTAGCAACATGGAGCCGGTGGCATGCGCCAAATGTAAATAAACTTTACATAGCAATGATCAGTCGACACATACTGTGTAGACGCCTTTGATTCGACAGTCGCGCACTACTGCGAGCGAGAATTGCTCTAACCAGAGCCTATATTAGTCGTGAAACAAGCGCATCACGCAGTACGCGTATATTCATGGCTACGTGAAAGCAAGAGGGCTCTGATTAAAGCAATAAATAGACCCTCATGTGCGCGGCGCTCGCGCTTTGTTTGTTTTTCTCTATATATATTACATGTCACATTTACAAGTTTCTAGAGTTAAAATTTCAGTAGCTTTATATTTTTGGAGAAAATTGTGGTCGTTTGTATAGTATAGGCCAACACTTGTAGCGCAATGTGTTACTGGTTACTGTGCCGCGCCGCGCACTCAATTAGGCTTCTCTCGCTAGATCGGTGAGATGCGCTACTGTGCCGCGCCGAGCTGCGATGAATTGACATCGTCAATTAAGGCCAACAATTCACCAGTCACCTAGCCATGAATATATGCGTACTTCATGACGCGCTTGTTTCACAAGTAATATAGTTAGCTTGCCTTCGGCGGTCGCGCGCTACTGCAAGCAAGAGTGATCTGAATAGAGCAAGGCCAACACTGCAATGCCAATAATGAGGGTAGCGAGTACCTTCTTTGACCATTGTTAATGGTCTGGCCCGGCGCGCGCTACTTCGTAGCACTTGCCATCGAGAAGAAAGCGGCGCGCGCTACTTCGAAGAAATTTAGACGAGTAACATCTGTCAAGTACCTTTTTCAATAATGTAGCTGAGAAACTGTCTTGAAAATTAGGTTAAAGATATAGTTCATTCAATATTATGTATAAATCAATAACCCACCGCGAGCTGATTACTCGTGAGGTCGAAATGGGCGCTGGGTGCGATCTTTCTGAAATTTAGCCTGTTGGTTCGGTGGATGATTTTAGCCACAGCGCCTTAAAATTAGCAAGATCGCAGATAATCACACAAAGTTACAGCTAATTTAGTGATGTAAACACTCGTCGCAATATACTGGAATTAAAATAAATTGGATCGAGCGCGTTTCTATGGTTACTAAGCGCGTGCCCAAATATAATAATGATTAGTCCGCTCATTAGCAATTTGAGAGCGTGTCGCATGTAGCATTATTATAATTCTATGATATAGTCTATATTAGATTTAGTTTTTCATTCCTTGGCGATCCTCATTTATGTGGGATATGTGAGTGTCCCAGTTTATGTACCTTACATGATTTTGAAATATAGTATCAAGGAGAAATAAAACATAAAATTCAGTCATCCGATCAACACTAGAGGTCCTAATGAAATGAAATCAAGACTTCAAACACGTACAATTATTGGCACTAAAGAAGTATTGTCAAGTGTGATTCGTGGTCAGAAACGTATGCCATTCCGTATGTAAGCCACAATTAGGAGGAAACATCAAGATAGTACAATATTAGTATTACAACTTTACAGATGACAGATAACAAATGTTACACCAAGATGCAGTTAAGCCTAACTCCTACTTTAGGCCTTTCTGGTTAGGTCTAACTGCATCTTGGTGACAGTAAGGAGTAAGTATAACATCAAAATTTAACTAACCAAATATCTTAAAATTTAACTAACAACGACAGTTAAGACTAGCTTTGCAAATTTAAACTTGGCAATGTTGATACTAATTCGCGGCTTCGTTTTTAATACCTTAAAAACATTGGACAGTTGTAAACATCAAACACAGATGGAATCTTTAAAAGAGATCTCGCACTTTTAGTCATGACATATTATTATTATAAATACCAAACAAGATCTTGAAACTCAAAAGCTAGATAAGCACAAGTGACTAATTTAAGAATACCCGATGGGTAAGGTGCACGGTTCAATACCGGCAGTCATCTCTTTTTTAATTTTTGAAAAAGTTCGTCCATCTTCTCCCCCACATAGCATGTATTGACTGTTGAGTCTTAACTAGATCTACCGTATTTTCCAGGCTTCAAAGGGTGTAGTTGTTCCATGCTCCAATTAATTCTAATTAATAATAAATTGAATTATAAACACTGCTCTCAAGTTTTAAAACTTTTACTCAGCTGTGTGAGAACAACTACAAAAGAACAAACTGAGATAAGTGCCACAAAAACTCTATCCTAAATTAACAGCCTTCCCGGCAATACACGAAATAATAATATAACTCAGTAACTTAGAGTCTCGAGTTCATGAATTAAGTTTTTCCAAATCATGAGTTGATAAACCGGTGAACAGATAAGTCTTGTAGAACTTGTAACTCTTCACTTTATATATCGTCGATCGGGTCCTGAAATATTAAACTCTGTTAATTTATGATCACAATTATATATCTATGGGGCCATCAGCCATCTACTTAGTACGTCTTGCATACATGATATAGAGGGGTTGGATTTGGAATTCCGGACAGGGGGATGCCGAGGGGGGAGGGGTGGTTTCTGAAAATCCGGACGTCCGTGGGGCGGGGTACACCTTTTCACACCAGCCAAACAAAGGCCTAAGTTCTCAAATAATTACATGATAAAATTTTATAATTGATTACGTGGTGGTGCAGTGTGCGCGCGCGGACGCGCGAAATATCAATTTGATTTTTGGTTGTTGAAAATTGTGTCTTTTTAGCACGAAAACTGCCGAAAATTTGCTAGTTGAAACAGATGTTAACTCACCCTGGTTATTTTGTGAAATTTGATTTAGTACATAGCAAACTAGGGCCTCTGACCGAACTTTTGAGGGGCTTCCGGACTTAGAGGGGCTTAGGCCCCGAGTTGGCGCTAGCACCCCGCGTTGATGAACGTTTTAGTAGAAGTTCAACTACAAATCGATTGTTTACACTTTACAACTAAGTCAAGTAACGACCACTTTGAGATCTTGCAGATCTTAGCACCATAGCTGTTCATTGTAATAGCCCTCGACTATTGCAGGAGACAAGCCTTAAGCAAGCACCCTGAAATAGGATTTACCATAAAGCCTTATAGGAGTGGGAGAGTTAAGGCAGAGAATATATCGGACACAGTTTTTGCGGATGAGATTGCTCTAATAGCGAATTCTGTAAAAGAGGTAGAGAAGCTGATGCAAGAGTTACCACTACAGTGGAACTTAGAATGAATGAAAGGAAAACCAAATTCATTACACATTTGTTTGGTTGTATTCTTAAGTGCTCGCTTATCAGTTATTTGTTGCTAAATTGTGAGCCGAGCATGCAATGGAGTGATACGAGACATGCAATCACAAGTACGAGAGTTTATCAGCTGTTTATATACAACCACACTTCTGGTATATATACTGAAACGTGAATTATCGGTTTTAATTCATGTCTGCTTTTTTTAAATCATCGAAAGACAGAGAGGATCTCAACAGCTGGTGGACACAGACGGCAACTCCGATCCTAATGAAAATAAACAGATGGATATCGACGCAGATGAACTATCTAAGAAACTGGATGCATCATGCAGCAACAAGCAACGGATGTGTTGACTACACAATGGGGATATGCCCTCACGGAATAAGTGGACGGACTCTCCACCAGGGTAAAACTACATGCAGCAAGCTTCATCCTAAGCCGCTGTAAAAAGTTTACACGTTTCAGCACTGATTCTAATGGGGGCTGTACTTTAGGATCAGGGTGTCAGCTCTACCACCCAGAGCAAAAACTTGGTTCGACACAAGCAGTGTTTTAAAGAACAATGCACTCTTGTTCATCTGGTGGGAACTAAGCGTGTAAAACCCTCCAAAGATAAAGATACTCGGAAGAAGGACGGCAAATATCCAGGTGGTGAGAGCCGTCCAGATCGGGGATCTTACAGGCGCACTGAGGGTACTTCTGCTGCCAACGAGCCTTCGGAAAAAACGACCGACATGGCAACTCTCAACATTCAACCTCTTTAAATTTAGAGATACAGTACAGAACCTACTCAAAGTGATGCAGGCAAACTTTCAGTCGGAATAATTTCCCTGAAGAATCAAATAAAATAGCAGGTCAAGAGTCTAAATTCAGCAGCTTCTTCCCAACTGCGAACCAGATGCCTCATGCTCAAATGTTCCCGCCAAAATTTTACATACCTAACTTCCTGTTCCATTTGTCCTTGTATCTTTCAACCGGATATTATCCAACTACCAGTATACAATTTACACTATACATTGCACAGTGCAGTGTACACTGTACACCTAAACTCACGAACATGCGATATTTATGAGCGGCAAATCGAGGTCTGGTTATTATAACGTGTACCGCCTGCAACTGATACAGCTTGGATAGTTTACTTGATTCGAAAACTTGTAAAATGTTTGACTTAGCATATTACGTATATATAGTAATCTGCTAGGGCTTTCCTAATATTGATTACGGTTGAGTACACATTCTAGAACAATAACAGTTTGACGATATTTTAATTCAAATTCTACTCCTACTAGAGTTCTGGGACTCAAAGTTGCAGGTGCCAGAGGTCCTGGGGCTGACAATAATTGGGGCACGAGGTTGGTGGACATTCGATAACCTGTAGCGCCCAGGTTCAAGATTATATTTAGAGATAAATGAGGTGAATCTGTTTTTATGCCAGTATGAATTATGATAGGGAAGACTGCTGCAAAAGGAACTTTAAAATGAGCTATGTTAAGCAAAAAATCAGCATTCCATGTGCACTACCAGTGCTCCAGCATTACCGCAGTGCTCTGGGGGCCAATACTTTGGGGCAGTAGGACTGAAAACTTACAAACTTGCTTGCTGAACGCAATTACCTTAAAAGTAGCGAACCCAGTTATTGCTAAATCTAGAGATATTGCTGGACTGAAGTCCCTCATTACACCTACAGTTGAACAGATACTAAATGACTGAACTTAAGTAGTAATGAATCTCAAAGAGACGGATGGACACTGCAACTGGACAGGCAGATGATATAGAAGTTAGAAACCTGATTGATGATACTAACGAAGAGCCAATTTAAGCCAAGAGTACAAATGCCCTTGTCTCTGAGGCCCAAAGTCATTGTGATTTGTGGCTCATGATCGATAGGGCCCACTGTCACTTAGGCGTGAGGTTCTGGGAATCTGGGGCACATCACCTGTGCTACTAATGGATGAGAAGTTTTACTCCACGTTCAATACTGGTTTCAGATGTCTAACTAACCGTTGAAAAAATGTATGTGAGTCAAGAGTCCAAGTAATTATCAAATATTTATCTCGGCCACTGGCCAGTTCCTGACATTTCAGGTTTTGTGACGGTTTGTGACCCCTATTGCCTATGTCAGGTGCTGAAGGATTGTATCAAAACCATACAATAGTATATTTAAAGCCCTATCGATAGCCACAAACCGCATCTTGAAAATTGCAACCTGAAAATTTGCAACAAAAAGACAAAACGAATTACCAAATTTGTATTGGTGTACCCAAAATTACCGATTTTTGCCAATATCTCTACAAATAAGCATTTTAGAGCATATAATGATTCACAAGTCTTACATAAATGTGCTCATCGCGAATATTTATCAATATTGGAGAAGTTTTTACGACCTTTCTAGCTAGAGATATAAAAATAATCCGGTTATTCAGGCTGCGAAGAGCTAAAAGACAGTTTTTCGTGAATATCTTTAAAACTAGGCACTTCAGACCTTATATATTGCTTCATAACTTGTATATAAATGAGGCTATTGCGGTTATTTTAAGCCAATATTCAAGTCTCTAAGTCGTTTAGAAGCCGAGATACATAAAGGTTAAACTAAAATAAAATTAATTTCTGACCCGTCGCCACTCTCAGCAGTCAACCAGGGCTCATAAAAGCTTAACAGCGCCTGAGTCCGTTCACCAACTGTGCTAATGAGAGTGGCGGTGTGGTAAAACCCATTTTTAGCAGCGTGAATATTTACCAAATACAAGCGCGCTAGCTGCTAGCATACTTGTATCATTTAATTTTGAATCAAATTTATTCGGATATATATTTATTGATTATGTATTGAATTGGTGATAAATAATAAAATTGTCTTTTCTCAAAAAAATTGTCTTTTCTAAATCCCAAATTTGCGCCTGAGGGCAATTTAGAAATTTCGCCCTGTAGGACTGGGACTAGCGATACAAAATGGGTACCTAGATGATTTTGGTTTGGAATGATCTAATGAAAGACCCGGTGTGGTTAAAAATTGTGGACATTGAAGTGCACACTCAGCTACTCTCTGCTACTAGAGATCTATTTCAGTCTATTTCTAATATGAGCAGAGCTCCTCGACCATCTCAAGTTTAATTGTTACCAATTTAAAACGAAAAGTGCTGCAGTCTTCAATCTAAAACTGACCTGAACACTGAAGGCGGCAATGCTTGACATCTTGTTAGTATGAAGTATCCCTTCATCAGGTTCAGGAGAGGTGTGCGGGGATCTTTATTAGCAGGCTTTCCTGGACCACGTTTTAGCCGACAGGGTTCTCCTGAGAAAATAAAATAGTCAACATGCGTTTTGCATTTATGTTTGCAACTGTCAGAGAGCGACAGGATGCAAAAATGTGAACTTTCATAAATAAAATTTTAAGAACAAAATTTACCATACAGCTGTAAAATTTAGTCAGTATATTTTTAAATGCCTTAATTGGTAATCAGAATCCAGACAAAAGATGGTGGCTTAGTAAATACGTTACATAAACTTTATACAAAAAGCATAGACCGTACCTGACTCAGTCAATTCTTGATATCGCCGTTTGCACCGTTTACTTAGGGAACAGAGGCGACAATACCAACCGGATAGCAGGTCAATGGCAGTTTTGTCAGATTTGTCAGAGAATTTTGCACGTCTCTAGTACCTTTTGGTTTTCCCAAGATGCTCGATCATGGACATTCTTAAGAAGCTTGTCGATAATTTCAACACTATGGCAACCTGAAAACAAACACAATTAACTCATAATATATTATGTAGTAAGAGGACATAAATTAGACCATGCAGTACGATGTTAACACTGCGATGTTAACACTGGACAGTAACATAGCAAATGTAGTTGACATGAATTCCTGCAATTCAAGCAGTTATTCGCATACAAAATGTTTGAAAAGCAAAGCGGGATATGTATAGGATATTTTACTTACTTTTTGTTTGGTTGCCATGCACTTCTAGGCGAAGAATGCAGTTATCTAGCGTGAAGTTGACCCGAGAAACGTTTCTATTTAGACAAGTTTATAGCAATCTGAAAGTGAGGACGGTTAGATTAAATTAACAGATTACGACAGTAAAAAGTAAGTTCGAATTTCTAACAATTTTTTTGTGCACAAATATTCATGGCATGAGAGTATTAAAGTTGTACAAAAGAGCACACATACCGTACGATTGCAGTTCACGAATGGACAATGTGAAAAATCTTTATTTATCGGGCATCCCTGTGGGAACGCAGAGCGGGCCTACACACGCTTTGAGTTAAGTCTCCATTCATTCCAATAATATAGTACAGTATGGCAGCGAAACAAAGTTGGCAACAATATGATCGTAAGGGTCTTAGATAGTACTACCATATTCCGTTGCGAAATCGTGAACAAACAGACCGGTCCAATTTCAACCACAAACGGAACACTACAAGGAATAGAACATAGATTAAACATTACAACAATAACCCTTGGTAACGTAACGCTTGCGGAGGAATTCAAATATCAAAAAAATAGAATTTATTTTTTGAGCCGCGCATTATTTGACAATTTTTATGTTTATTTACCAATTTAAGAATTTTTTTAAAACATTAAACGAATGTAATCACAAATCCAAATACCGAAAATATGGGATTCCAGATTATTAATTCGAAATTTATGTTTCTTCATACTTAAATAGGTGGCACTAATATTAATCAAATATTTTGCGCGATACGTGCTTTTAGTGTTACATTTTAATAAGTGTAATGAAAGTATAAGTTTATTTTATCATTTATATATTATGATTCTGGGCTAATGACTTGGTGAAATTAAAACTTTGTGATTGCAATCAATTTATTTGTGATATCATTGTGAGTTTTAATTTTAAAATTATCAATAACTAAAACTTACAACATATACAATATAAAGACGCGCGCGATAAAATTACAAAGTTATAATGAATAATTCATATAAACAATTTTTTGTTTAGTAAATTACAATGCAAAAGGTTAGTATATTTTAAAAGAAAAATAAAAGCAACCGCAACCGAATGAATCAACTTCAATACGGAACAATAGTAATGTACATACAAACATTGATTTACAACGTAACATGTTTTAAATAAGATGTAAGAGTCGTATTACTTATATTATGCATTAAACTGTTTTATATATACGGCATAGTCATACTAAAAACCAGAAATTTAATGTACATCGTATTTCCATCAAAAATTAAAGATTAAATGCAGTATCAAGTATGAATATTAACAGTATATATGTTTGGTGTTGAACTTCACAAGGCAAACGCTGCGCGCAGTAAAATACGAGCAATCAGTTGCAAATGAAGTTCTACCGAAGTTTGTAGGGCGCCAAATTTTTATATGTTGACGTGTTCGCGCATTTTGAGTAAACAGCTCGCAGTGGGAACTGGCCGCCAAAGCTGCGCATTCTTGAAAACAGAATTAACTTGTTAGTACGACAGAGTAAATTTAAAACTATTCGTGGTTTTTTAAAAATAAATTACAATTATACCCAAATCCAAAGCTTACCTGAGGACCCCAGGCTATTATGTTCATTAACATAAAGATTTGGCGGAATGACAGGCTGAGCGCGGCCCAGTTAATCCAAAGCTAGCTTTGTAAAATTTACTATTAGATCATAATATATCGTCAATTTTAAATATTTACAATGCAATATTTCATTTATCTATGAACAAGCGTACTCCAGCTCCTACACGCATCAATTCTTATGCAGTCCGGCCCAAGCCGCGCACGCACGTATTATTTTATACTTTTTGCTTTCTAATAAATATCGTGTCAATGTGTATGGTGTACGTCTAAATGTTCATGTTTTGCGTGAACTGAATCCAATTGAGAGTGACAAGGATAAGGATATAAGGACCCAAGTGCATGTACGGCTTTTACAGACCCCTGTGGACCAATACTCTTTAAATTGCTCTACAACATCCAACATTCAACATTTATATCTATATCATTAATCATATAGATTAACTGTTATATAATATACTACGTCATTTTACAATTATTATCATTATTCTAATAGTCTTGCTGAGGGGGAGAAGTAAACGCTTCACATTAAAATACTTACAACATAAAAATCTAAAACCATCAGCACGGCTAGTTTTAATATCATGGACAATTTGGTATAATAAAAATAAATTTGGTATAATAAATATAAATCTATTTCGTAGTAATATCTTCACATGATTTGTTTTATCTTAATATTATAATAAAGTAGTGAAGTACATTAAGATACATTTCGAGAAAGAAAGGTTGGTCCAATTTTTAACAAAAGTCCATCAGGGACTCCGTGGAGTCGAAAAAGGTACAAGATGTTTTATTGTATTGGTTTTTGATGATTCTAGGAGAGAGAGGATGAACAAGTAGTAGTGCAGTGAAAATTGTTTTACTAAATTTGTTTTACTAATAGCAGATCTAGACATGTCGATGAGCTACATCTATCACAAAGGGATTTTTATAATTTCTAACCCAAATCTCGAATTGTTACCATATTGTAGTATTATCGACCCTCTACACCTTGAATGACACTATACCTTTTATTAGAAGTAACCTGGCTTTTTACAATTTAATCAAGTGGCACTGCGAGCAGGCCATGTTACAACTGTGTGCAGCATTTCCACAATTCACAATTCACACAGGTAGCTGGAGCCCCTGGCCCTAGTTTAGCACCAGAAGGATTTTGATCATTATATACTGGTATTCCTGATGCCGAGGGTACATTCTGTACATTCTGTGATAGAGATCGTTCTAATAGCTTGAAATTGAAGTCATGTCTATTGCATTAACAAAAGGCTGGGGAGTACTGCCGTAAGACTGCAATTTCAATACTCCTCGCTTTTTTAAATGATTGGTCCAAAGTCAACGTATTTTCTTCTAAGAGACGCTGCCAGATAGTGGAAGAAGATAAACCAGAGATGAATGCATTTGTTATGTACTCTTCTTTGTACAATTTTACAGTTTCAGGGAGTTTAAATTGCAAGGTTTAGATTCAAACAGTTTAATCCATCTGCTGCTCATGGTAGTTGGCAAATCATCTTTGAGTTGGAAGCTGTCCAACGCCGGTTCATCTGGTTAATCGAGGGTATTCAAGAAAACAACAATTTCAAGAAAACAACAATTTTATTTAGTATCAATTAAAGCAAACATAAATATATTTTATATATAACTAGCAAGTAGCAGGACCTTTTTACCAGATATCTTAGGGGACTTGGAGTAGCAAGAGAATGGATAGAAGGTATATACCTTGTGGATACCTGGAAATCTGCCAAGGCATCCTCACCTAAATTAGAATTCTACAATCAAATTAAACATGATTATGAACCAGAAACATACTTAGGAGTGGTTAAGATCCCCGATGCTCGGAAAAGCTTAACAAGGTTTCGTATTAGCTGCCACAATCTTTACATTGAGAGGGGCCGTTACGAAACCCCCCTAGTACCAAGAGAACATCGATGGTGCACTTTTTGCTTTTTCAGCAAGGGGCTTAAGCCTATTGAGGACGAAATTCATGTTCTAACTGACTGTTTACTCTACTCCTCAGTTAGAGAAAAATTTAACTTCCATCCCAAAAATATTACTGACCTAGCCGGTTTGCTATCCGATAAAACACTAGACCCTACAAAATTTACTGCCACAGCAAGAGCAATCCATTCAATTCTCTCTGTGAACGAAAATTTTACAGCCTACTATAAGAGCCCAGATTTCCACTCAAATACTGGCCAATGCATAATGCTATAGGACCTCAAAAATAGTATTATAAAACATTTCTATTTTATCCCTACACATTTGTAAATAACTAGAATTGTGTAACCTTAAATTATTTCAGAATTATAACTATTGTGAATTCAATAAAATAATTATCACTTTTGTATCCTTGTATCCTTGTATCCTTGTATCCTTGTATCCTTGTACAGTTCATCTAAGGTTGCCATTGCGGAGTCATGTAATCTGTTCTGTCTGAGATTTGTTCATATATGTACTTATTTTGCATTGGTCAGATACTGCTTTGGTGAAATTGTTAATTACCATGTTAGTAAGCAATCTAAATGGAACCGAACCAATGAAACAAGTATTCAATGTGTAAAAGGTTTTAGATTGCTAACAAACCCTGAGGGTAATATGATTAGTACAGGGTATAAAAAGTAGTGGCAATCAAGGTATAGACTAGAGGGTTGATAATACTACAATTATGTTTAAAATGAAGTCAAAACTACAGTGTACAGGATGATGTAGAACATAGATCTACTGAGGGCTACCCTAAGCCTAGTAAGATTCCTTATATCTTGGCAGGGCCCCTCATATAACCCTTAATTACGGTTTTCCAATCATTTGGCTGAGTCAACCAAGGAGACATAACATAGATGTGCAACATAGCAAAGATCTAATGGATTCTGAGCTAATTCCCTAGACTAGTCTAGGTTACACTTGGTATAGTAGTCTCTCAACAAAAATAAAGTCTTTATTCCCTGGATGGTGTTGACAACTATCTCAGGATATTGTGAGTGTACCATATCAACAGAGGGACCCAATTAGATGTCTAAATGACAGATGCCTTGACAGAGGTAGACTGATGCCATACGAATAAGATAGAAATAATAATATTGATTTAAAAGTTTATATTACAGTGGAACAACAACTTAAAATGCACACAGGTGTTCAACAAAAACACTTCAGGACTCAAGAAAACCTGAGAAAAGCAATCTTTGATTAAAAGAGGCAGTACACTATTCATGAATATCATAAGCACGCTTGAAAAGAAACGTTTTTAGATACACTTTAAAACAGTCCAACAACATGCAGTTCTTAATTTCAAGAGGCAGCTCATTCCATAATTTAGGGCCAACTTTCTGAAACGATCTCTCTCCATGTGTATTTACCCTTGGTTCAGTCAAGTAAAGTAAAGTAAAATTTATGACATCACATCAAACACATCTCTAAAAAATACCATTGCACTGAAAAATATATAATAAATATAACCCCACCAACATTAATTATTTATCAGATACAATATTTTTCAAAAAATTATCAAAACATTATCCTATTTTAAAAACCTAATCAAACCTCCCAGTGGAATTAAGATTTATAAAACACTTCTTTGCCACATACAATCAAGTATATACGATTATTATAATTACCAAATTTGAATACTTAAATAATCTGGTCCCATACCACTATGACATTTATAAACAAGAAGTAATAACTTGTACTGAATTCTGTAACTGATAGGCAGCCAAAAAGATTGAAGGTCTTTCAGAGTACCTCCTAAATGATCAATTTAAGTGTACACAAAATTTTATAAAGAATTTAGTTGACAAATAATTTATTCAAAATTTATCAAGTTGATTGTTTTCTCTTATTTTTCGTTATCATTCTAGGGTTCTAGGGTTTCCAGACATGGGTGAAGAAGTGAAAGAAAAGAAACCCAACAAATATGTTGAGGGATTCAAAGGATTTTGTACTTTTCTCTACAACCCAGATGATCACACAGTTTTTGGCAGAGGGGGTTCTAGTTGGGGTAAATTCTTATGATATTCAGTTATTAGTGACATTGAAGTCAATGTGTGCATCATATCTACAACTCATACAAACGATTCATTTCACACACTTTCATAGCTAGTCGCTAGATCATAGATCATGCCACAGTTCTATCCAATTGACGATCTTGGTCCATCAACATCACTCATTCTCAAAAATGCTGGAACGTCCCTGATCCGCTCACGCTCTGAAGAACATTCGATGGGGTAAAATACAAGTTAAAACCATACATTACATCATACATCATAGCATACACTGATATCTTCTCGAATCAGTTTTATCACAATATTTCAACATCTTTAAAAGAATTGTTTTTACATTATTGGAGAATAGCTTCAGCTTCTACCTGAATGATATTTTGTGGTAGCTTTTGTCAATACCAGGAATGCTGCACTGTTCATAGTAGATAATTTTGGGAAGCATTCAAATAGATTATATTTTCAGGAAAAATTATAATCTTCTACTTCTTCTTCTACGCTTGTTTGGCAGCTTTCTTCGCCGTCTGCCTGATAGTGATGCTGAACACCCTGAGCGATGACAAGCCTACAGTTATCGGACGTACCAACAAACCTAGTATGTGAATCTAATTTGATATTCAATATATTCATCTCTAAAATCCCAAAAGGTTGATGTCGAAAATTTCCTAATGCCGTAGAATTTGCAGACAGTTTTTCAAATTAATATCATTTCCTTTTGTTTTGGAAAAAGAGATACTAGCAGCGGTCCACTCTACCAAATTATGGGTTTTGGTCAAATTGTGCCTCAGAAATTTAGGTTTACATGTAATTCTGTTGTAAATGAACACCTCAAAATGAAATTTTGTTTAAAAAGTATCTTTTACAGTTTACAAATTGAGACCTTGTAACTTGGCACACATGTTGAAGGCCTTGTCCTAAAATGACATGTACATATTTTTAATTTTCTTGCTCCAAAGCACAAACTAAGATATGAGGTTAACCGTCATTGTCTACAAACAGCTAGGACCAGGGGCAGAATTCTGTTAATCGCTACATATCATTTGATTGTAATTATCTTAGAAATATATGTTTCAATTTTGAGATGAAACGGATATTAAATTTAAAGCTAGATACCAGAAGAATATGGGTTTTAAAGGCGGTAAATAATACATACGTATTCATTTTATTTTCTGGGATGACAAGTTTTAACACTGCTCAAGCTGAGTAAAAGTTTTATCTTAAAAGCGGTGTTATTAAATTTACAGAGGAATTTGTTTCCCTTTGAATCAATTTATTAAATTTAAATTTATTATTATTATCAAATTCAAGATCGCATAATAACAGTTCTGGCTTGTTCTGCTTTTTAATACATTCATGACTTGAGTTGAATTTTTGTTTCAGAGCTAGCAGCCCCTTTCCAAGATCTGTACATCTTGAACTTCAAGAACGATGCACAATGGAATAAATACAAGGTGGCAGCCGACGCATTAAAAGCAAAATACGGTAAATTTATTATAATTTATACGTTCATTTTAATCTTTAAATATCTTGAATTAAAAAATGGTAAATAATGAATTTATTTGTATACGTTTATTTTAATCTCTAATTATCTTGAAGCATGCTTTAATTGTATGTTGTAAAACCAAAACATAATTCTGTCGATACTCAGCTCACTTTAAAAATGGTTTATTCTGTCCGCAGAGGGTAACAAAGATAAGGGCGACGGATTTTTCGATTGGAGCTTTGATAACCTTGGAGAATGTTTCGAGTCACAATACCCCAAAAACAGTGATGAAAGTAAAGTGGGATGTTTCTATATTGGACTTAACAGGGTGGGTATTTTTGAACAATTTTTAGTTTTAAATAATAAAAAATATTCACAGCTATTTCTCTAGATTTGCTATTCGTGATCAATTAAAATTTTAATTCGAGTATTATGGTCAGTACGTAACATCAATTGGTTTAACAATTAACAGTACCTTGACGGAGAGCTTCACCTACCAATAACCCATTTTGCTCACCAAACTATCCAATAATTCAGATTTACGATTGGGCTCCAGAAGAAGGCGAGACGTTGTCTTTCGGTTGCGAATGGGTCGTGGGAAAAACTGGATCTGGAAACTTGGACCCTCCAGTGAGTACATCTAATTATAGATTTTTGGGAAATTGGGAAACTTAACTCTACATATTTGTTAGGTTCACACAAACGTAGGAAGTTAAACGAAATGAAATTTACATTTACATCCCTCTTATATCAACAACTGTCAACCAATATTATTAAAAATAAAAATTGCCGACTTCAAAGCGGCTGGCATTGTGACAAAGTGATAATTTAAACGCCAGAATGCATGTATATTCTTAGTAAATGTAAAGTGTAAAAGTTCATAAAATGGCCAAAAAATTATGTAATATCTATATTCTATTTGGGCACCTGGCCAGACCCCACAATGTCACTGTCTTTAGACAACATTATACGACATTATACGACATTATATCCAATAAGCGACATTGTATCGACATTATATCCTATAAGCGACATTACATCGACATTATATCCAATAAGCGACATTGTATCGACATTATATCCAAAAAGGCGACATTGTATCGACATTATATCCTATAAGCGACATTGTATTGACATTATATCCTATAAGCGGCATAACGTCGACATTATATCCAATAAGCGGCTTTATACGCAAATAATGACATTATTGACGTTATTTCATGATATTGTGGGGTCTGACCAGCTAGAGCTGCCCCTATTGTATTTAAATATCTCACTCATCTATCTCACAAATTCTACCTGTCCTGATTAAATAACGTATACAATATTAGGATTTTCCTTGACCTTCCTCTTCAAATCTAGAACCAACTGTTTAAATGTACTGCACGCTCCTCCGGCGACCGATCCGGTAAAATAAAGACAGTTTTAAAACACTGAGACAGTCTGATTTCTTTAGCTTTGAACTGCAGTATCTGATGAACGGTGCTAGAGATTCCAAATGATACTTTGACAGCTCTATGTTTTTCAGTAGCTTCATTCCCATTTCGAGCAACTTCGAAGCGTGGCTTCTCTGCCATTTGTTCGAACACATCACAAATTTTATCGCCGAGTTTCTCTCCTGTATCTGCATCCTCCTTGAGACCAACAAGAAATGCAGCCGCTTTTCTTTTGTGGATGGCCGCTCAATTTCCCGATCCGTGATGGCGTATTTTATCATATGCCATACAACCTGGGGACCCCAGCCTTTACTGTTTATAAGCATGCAGATACCCATATCCACATAATTAAAAATTTCCTCCCAAACCCATTTTCAGACCCTTCTGTGGCCCGCTCGCTTCGCTTGCAGCGGCTAAGTTACTTTCCCAACAGGGGCGTGCGCAGGATTTTTAAAAGGGGTGGGCGATCGCGATGGGTGGGCGAGGAGCCGGCGCTTCTGAACTACTTTCTTCAAGTTCTCTGCCGTGAAAGTGGAGGCAGAGCTGGGGGAATGTTTTGACACAGCAGCACTGTAAGACTTAATCTCAGACTCGGCGTAAAATCTGGGCAAGGGGCCAAAAAGGGCCAACTTTTCAATTAAGATTTCTAAAAATTTTGTACGAGCTTTGAAAGGTAAATCACGTATCATTCATTTTCAGTTCGATATGGAAATGCAGAAAAAAGTCGAAATCGCTGCAGCACTGAAAGCGTACTACCCTTGGACCTCCATGGAAAATAACGGTCTGCAGCCGATGCAGGCTATCAAGATAACCTTGAACAGTAAGTTATTCTTTATCTGACATGTTTTTGTGTTGAAGATATTTGTCTCGCTGGCCTTGTCTTGAAGTTTTATGTATTTTCTTGACTTGTCTATTCTTTAAGACTTAAAATGCATTAGAATTGTTGAATCTCACTCATCAATTTCTCAGAGGATAAACTAGCTGCAATGAACGAGACAGCATCTCTCGACACCTATCTTGATTGCAGCGCTTACGTCAACGAGAAGAAGATTGAAGATTCAGGCAACGCCAACTTCGAAATCAGATACTCAAAAGACACGATAGCCGATGAATAGTTTGGATGTGGATTTGGAGTGAGTCGGTGCAAGAGATCTGTCGCAACTTAACCGTGCTGATAAGATCTACACAAACTCTCGTGATCATCTGATTATTACATAGGTTACTATTATGATGAGCTAGATTTTGATATTAATTTATTGAACACCATTAACATTGCAAAACTGATCAGTTTTCTAAATTCTACTATTATATATACCTATTTATAATGATTTTATTTTGTGTACTAAGATTGAAGGCGATTTTGTAATTACGGATTTCAAAACTATCGATAGCATTTTGTTTACTTGTACCGATTTTTCGTTCGAAATTGAACAAGAATTATAAACGTGAATAGACACTTTTTAGATTTCTATTGATAAACAATATAACTTTCCTTTCGCAGCCATAATTGTTTTTCGTTGGTCAAAAAATTAACACAAAATAATTCTTGAGTTCTTTCATCAATCACTCTCAGAATCATCGATTTAACAAAAGTTGTACACCAGCCGAACTGAATATTAAATACATGCATTTTTAGTTAGTTATTAGTTCAATCGGTATATTTATCGTTTTATTGAAATGATGTTATTTTGAGCTTTATTTTCATACCAATGCGATATTGGATTTAGTAGTACATAGTGCTTGGGTTATTTGTTAATGGTGCGCGTTTGTTGGATTAACTATCATAAAATGTTTGGATGCTAGTTTAAATAGTAAAGCGTAGAGGAGCTTGGAGTAAGAATAATCATTATTACAATTTGTATTCGTAATTAGATTGATACATATTTTGCACAGTTTTTGTAAAGAAGCAGATTTGTTCCCGTGTAATCTAGGAGTTGAGAACTCGTTACAATTGTTGAGTATAATACTTTCTGATATGAAATCGTTTCACGGTAAAAAGGGTTTTACAAAGTTTCCGAGGTCTGAAATCGTTATATTGTGATATACAAGTTATTACTAAAACATAAATTCGACGTTTAGTCATTCAATTGTTTTCTTTGGCAATAAAATCTTTTAAGGTTCACGCTTCGACAACAATTTCAGTCAGGAAGATATAATAGTTTTCTCGCGTGAATAAAATTAAAAAGCTCAAAAACAGAATGAAATTCAAATATGTTTACCACTGTGCACGTCCGATCGTAAATAGGGAAATAATAATCATACGATATTCAGGTCTTGTCGGCCTGGTTACATAGCGAGCTGAAATTATTTGTTATATTATAGGATAGCACTGTTGAGGGTATGAAAACTATTATTTAATATAAATTTGCAGACAACTGCGAGGCAATAGCTGCACGACATGTTGGATTCATTGTAGAGTTCGATCAAAGAGCATTCGATTAAGGTTAGGGAGGTTAGAAACGATGATTTAATATAAAAATCGTTTCAAACCTTAATCGTCATCTTGTCTTAGCTGGTATGTCCTGGAGTTCTTTTTATGATAGTCTCTCTGCTCTTACACCGCAATGTGTCCAGCTTGCGTGCAGCTCTAGCTCTTGGCTTGCTGCAGTTTTTAAGTCTGCAAATTTCTGGATCATTCTGTGCCGTGGCACGTGACGATTTTCGATTGCAAACAAACCCTGAGGGTAATATGATTAGTACAGGGTATAAAAGTGTCAATCAAGGTATATAATAATAAGAGGGTATAGAGGGTATAGAGGGTAGATAATACTACAATAATGTTTAAAATGTAGTAAAAACTACAATGTACAGGATGATGTAGAATGTAGATCTACTGAAGGCTACCATAGCAAGATTCCTTATCTCTTGGCAGGGCCCCTAATTTAACCCTTAATTACGGTTATCCAATCATTTGGCTGAGTCAACCAAGGAGACATAACACAGATGTGCAACATAGCAAAGATCCAATGGATTCTGAGCTAATTCCCTAGACTAGTCTAGGTTACACTTGGTATAGGGTCAACAGAAATAAAGTCTTTACTCCCTGCCCCCTGGATGGTGTGAACAACTATCTTAGGATATTGTGAGTGTACCACATCAACAGGGAGTTTAATTAGATGTCTAAATGACATAGCCTTGACAGAGCTGAGGTAGATTGATGCCATCAGAATAAGATACAAATTATAGTAATAATTTCATCATACAACAAATTTAAAGACTTGATGCACTAAATAACAAGATAAAGGGTATGCATTTTTCAATAAAAATATTTAAAAATTCTATGGTTAAAAGAGGTATTTATTAGTTTAAGAAACTATTCAGGAATATCATAAGCACGCTTGAAAAGAAACGTATTTAGATACACTTTAAAAGAGTCCAACGACATGCAGTTCTTAATTTCAAGAGGCAGCTCATTCCATAATTTAGGGCCAACTTTCTGAAACGATCTCTCTCCATACTGTGTATGTACCCTAGGTTCTGTCAAGTAGATAAGATGATTATAATTGTAAATTATATTAGCAAATTTCAACATTGTACTTAAATAATCTGGTCCCATACCATTAAGACATTTATAAACAAGAAGTAATAATTTGTATTGAATTCTGTAACTGATGGGCAGCCAATGAAGGTCTTTCAGAGTATCTCCTAAATGATACATTTAAGCACTGTACAAAAAATTTAATAAAGTATTTTTTGAATTGGTATCGAAAAAAGGTTTCTGTTCTTGAGATATTGTGCATCAGAAATTTAGGTTTACATGTAATCTATTGTAAATGAAAACTTCAAATGAAATTTTGTTTAAAGACTATCTTTTACAGTTTACAAATTGGCACACGTATACTTCAAGGTATTGTCCTAAAATGACATGTAGCTATTTTTCATTTCATTTCATCATATCTACAACTCATACAAACGATTCATTTCACCTTTCACACTTTCATAGCTAGATCATAGATCATGCCACAGTATGATCCAATTGACGATCCTGGTCCATCAACATCACTCATGTATCTCAAAAATGCTGGAACGTCCCTGATCCACTCACGCTCTAAAGAAGACTGGGGTAAAATACTTTAAAACCATACATTTCATCATACATCATAGCATGTATACACTGATATCTTCTCATCGGTTTTACCACAATATTTCACATTTAAAAAAAGAATTGTTGATCAGTTTTTACATTATTGGAGAATAGTTTCAGCTTCTACCTGAATGACATTTTGTGGTAGCTTTTGTCAATACCAGGAATGCTGCACTGTTCATATAATAGTAGGTAATTTTGGGAAGCATTCGAAGAGATTATATTTTCAGGAAAACTTATAATCTTCTACTTCTTCTTCTACGCTTGTTTGGCAGCTTTCTTCGCCGTCTGCCTGATAGTGATGCTGCAAACCCTGGACGATGACAAGCCTACAGTTATCGGACGTACCATCAAACCTAGTATGTGAATCCAAATCTGGTGTTCATGTTAAGCAATTTGATATTCATGTCTAAAATCCCAAAATGTTGATAAATTTACCTGAAATGAAATTTTGTTTTAAAAAAAACTATCATTTACAGTTTACAAATTGAGACCTTGTAACTTGGCACACATGTACTTCAAGGCCTTGTCCTAAAATGTCATGTAGATATTTTTTGCTCCAAAGTGAAAGCTAAGATACCTTAATTCCCAAAAATTTGGGCGACAAAAAATTTGAGCGGGCCTCTCGCCCAAATTTTTTGCAGACCAAATTAATTGCGTTAATCTTTTCCGTCTGCTAAATTTTTTGCTAACCAAACTTTTGGCATTTGGCCTGTGGCCCTGAAATCTATAGAAAGATGGCTTTTTCTTCATATCCAAGTGAAATAATATTTGAAATTTTAGTTTTCTAATCTGTCATTCATGGCTTGACCAATTAAAAAGGCTTATATTTTAAATGAATAGAAATTACTGGAATAGCTAACAGCTACTAATAAAACAAATGGCTAGAGGTACGGAGAGCTAGAGATTTTCAGATTTAAACAAGATCTGCAAATGGATTATCATCCACCGTAAAGTCTGATCTACAAGCATCAGTTATACCCGACTTCTCAAAGCCTTTCCTTATGTCATCTGGCCTCCCTTTTAAATATGCTATCTGATTGAGAGACTAAATATCACTATTGTATAAATCTATCATTTTGTACTGTGCCATCATCACTGTATTTTTTAGTAGTTACTGGGCAGATCGTAAATTTTATAATGTGAAACAACTCAGACTACCACCTACATGCTTAAAATTGAAAGCAAAATGACTGGAATAATAAGGAATAATAATGAACTAAGGCAAATATCTAACTGAAATTTTAGTGGAAAATCGTTCATTTTTCGAAGAATTTGTGCCCAAATTTTCGGTCGCCCAAATGAGTTCAAATTTTTTGCCCAAATTTTTCGGGCTCAAATAAATTGTGCTCAATTTAATTGCACACAAATTTTTGGGAACTAAGGTATGAGGTTCTAGCTATAGCCGTCACGCAACTGTCTATAATTTACCTCGTAAAAACAGCTAGGGCCAGGGGAAGAATTCTGTTACATCGCTACATATCGTATCATTTGATTGTAATTATCTCGGAAACAGATGTTTCAATTTTGAGATGAAACGGATATTAAATTTAAAGCTCTACTAGAAGAAGATAAGTTTTAAAAGTGGTAAATACATTTTTTAGGAGAGCCACAGCACAGGACTGATTTTTGTTAAAATATGTTAACCTTAAGGGCAGATTATAGTTTTTGTATTCGAGATTGGAGCAACAAATTGTTAAGAAATTGTAATATGTGAGGTTAACTGATCAAATAGCCAATTATTAACCTCAATTTTACAACAAATTAAGGGCTCTAGTGGGCTAGGGGTTGCCCACTGGCATAGGGTACGTGGCCTGCCCACTGTATTGGCTGGCATATTTCATTTTTCCATACTTGAGTCTCACTTGTATGACTTAAACGTATTTTTGTTGGGTGTTGGGTGTGATTTTAATGTCGAAGCAGGTAATACATTTTAGAATTTTATTTATTATAATTTTTATAAATTTATGTGCGAAGTAATAAATGGATCACTAGTATATGATCAAGATCGCATAATAACGGTTCTGGCTTGCTCTGCTATTTGCATTCATGACAAGTTGAGTTGAATTTTTGTTTCAGAGCTAGCAGCCCCTTCCCCAGACTTGTACATCATGAACTTCGAGAAAGAAGAAGAATGGAATAAGTACAGGGTGGCAGCCGACAAATTAGCAGAAAAATACAGTAAATTTATTTTTTATACGTTCATTTTAATTTTTAAATATCTTGAATAAAAAAATGGTAAATATAATAAATTTATTTGTATACGTTTATTTTTATCTCTCATTATCTTGAAGCATGGTTTAATTGTATGTTGTAAAACCACAACATAATTCTGTCGATACTCAGCTCTGTTTAAAAGTGGTTTATTCTCTCTGCAGCTGCAAAGGATAACAAGGGCGTCGGATTTTTCGATTGGAGCGAAGCTAACCTTGGAAAATGTTACAACCAATCAAAACCCTTCAACTCCGATAAAGACTCTGATAAAGTGGGATGTTTCTATATTGGACTTAACAGGGTGGGTACCCGTGGGTATTTTTGAACAATTTTAGTTTTAAAAGTTTAAATACCTAAATAAAAATTGTTCACAGCTATTTCTCTAGATTTGCTATTCGTGATTAAATTAAAATGTTAATTAAAATGTTAATTCGAGTATTATGGTAAGTACGTAACATCAATTGGTTTAACAATCAACAGTACCTTGACGGAGAGCTGCACCTACCAATAACCCATTTTTCTCACCAAACTATCCAATAATTCAGATTTACAATTGGACTCCAGAAAAAAAGACGTTGTCTTTTGATTGCAATTGGAGCGTGGGAAAAACTGGATCTGGAAACTTGGACCCTCCAGTGAGTACATCTAATTATAAATTTTTGGGAAATTGGGAAACTTAACTCTATATATTTGTTAGGTTCACACAAACGTATGAAATAAAATGAAATGAAATAAAGGCAAAGCATTTACATCCCGCTTATATATATCAACAACCAATATTAAAAAAATAAAAATTGCCGACTTCAAAGCGGCTGGCATGGTGACATAAGAGATATATTAATAATTTAAACTCCAGAATTCATGTATATTCTCAGTAAATATAAAGTGTAAGAGTTCATATAAAATGGCCAAAAAATTATGTCCTGATAAAATAACGTATATATTAATTATTGCTAAGTACCAAACAACAAGTGGGAGGTGGATCGTTGGTACCATTAAATCGATTTAACACCGCAATTCCAGTCGCAAGCCTGGGACCACTACTAGCATAGTCACAACATCTACAAAGCTGCCATATAGCCTGACTGACAATTTTCTCGACTGACTGACAATGTTTCTTCTTTTTCCCCATTTAGAATACAAAGATTAGTACATTTTAGCTTATGATTAATATTATATTTTTACCTATAGTTTACCTAGATTACTTTTAGGATTTTCCTTGACCTTCCTCTTCAAATCTAGAACAAACTGTTTATGTACTGCTCGCTCCTCCGGCGACCGATCCGGTGAAATAAAGACAGTTTTAACACACTGAGACAGTCTGAGTTCTTTAGCTTTAATCAGTATCTGATGAACGGTGCTAGAGCTTCCAAATGATACTTTGACAGCCCTATGTTTTTTAGTAGCTTTATTCCCAATTCGAGCAGCTTCGAAGCGTGGCTTCTCTGCCATTTGTTCAAACACATCACAAATTGTATTGCCGAGTTTCTCTCCTGCATACTGAGCATACTCCTTGAGACCAAAAATCAACATGTTTTTGCTGAGATCCTCTTCAGCTACCACATTCTGAACTACTTTCTTCGAGTTCTCTGCCGTGAAAGTGGAGGCAGAGCTGGGGGAACGTTTTGTTACAGCAGCACTGTAAAACTTAATCTCAGACTCAGCTTGAACAATATTTTCTATAGCGGTTTTAAAGGTTCTCTGGACTGAATCTAGCTCTTTAGTCTTTATGTTCAAACTCCAAGAGTTCCCCTTGCCTTGCAACTGAATAATTTTCTGAGCATAAATCATGTCACTTTTCATTTCCTCTATTTTTGTTGCCGCTTTAAGAAAGAGATCCGTATATACAACAATACCCTAAAATGCATCAAAAAGGTGCTTTACTAAAAGGTCCTTATATATAGTTTCTTGAACTTGTCTAATGTAATACTAATATGACTATCTTTATCACTACACAGTCTATTGTCTTCATCACTTCCTCAACCCAACAACCAAGATCATTAGCAGCATCGGCAAACATGCCCAAATATTCACGTGACCACATTGTAGAGTCAAAGTCCACATTTCCCATAATGGGGGGATAATGTATTCACTGAAGGGTTATCCTAGGAAGTTTCTTGAACTTTCAACAGGTACCCCTCAGGTCCTCATTTAACCCTAAATTAAGTTTCTTATCATTCGGCTGAGTCGACCGAGAAGATCGCATAGATCCAATGGATCCTTACTCCTTAGCTACTCCCTAGGCTAGGTGACACTGGGATTCGAACCCTGAACTTTCTGCGCAGAAGGCGGATGCTCTGATCACTAGGCCACCTAGCCCCGATAAGCGATGAGATAAGAGAGCTCAATAATCAACGCGTAACAAAACTACACACTACACACATGATGATTATGTTTTCCATAAAAATCTCAGATTTTATTCATAATTTTATCATTATTTGAAAGGTAAATCACGTATCAATCATTTTCAGTTCGATATGGAAATGCAGAAAGAAGTCGAAATCGCTGCAGCACTGAAAGCGTACTACCCTTATACCTCCAAGGCAGAGAATGGTCTGCAGCCCATGCAGGCTATCGAGATAACCTTGAACAGTAAGTTATTCTTTATCTGACATGTTTTTCTGTTGAAGATATCTGTCTCGCTGGCCCTGTCTAGGAGTTTTAACTTTTATGTATTTTCTTGACTTTTCTATTCTCTAATCTACTTTAAATTCATTAGAATTGTCATCTCACTTCTCACTCATCAATTTCTCAGAGATAAAACAAGCTGCAATGAGCGAGACAGATTCTTTGGAAACCTATCTTGATTGCAGCGCTTACGTCAACGAGAAGAAGATCGAAGATTCAGGCGACGCCAACTTCGAAATCAGATACTCAAAAGACACGAATGCCGATGAATAGTTTGGATGTGGATTTGGAGTGAGTCGGTGCAAGAGATTTGTCGCAACTTAACCGTGCTGATAAGATCTACACAAACTCTCGTGATCATCTGATTATTACATAGGTTACTATTATGATGAGCTAGATTATGATATTAATTTATTGAACACCATTAACATTAATAGACATTTTTTAGATTTCTATTGATAAATAATATAACTTTCCTTTCGCAGCCATAATTATTTTTCGTTGGTCAAAAAATTGTCACAAAATAATTCTTGAGTTCTTTCATCTATCATTCTCAAGAATCATTGATTGAACAAAAGTTGAACACCAGCCGAACTGAATATTAAATACATGCATTTTTAGTTAGTTATTAGTTGAATCGGTATATTTATCGCTTTATTGAAATGATGTTATTTTGAGCTTTATTTTCATACCAATGCGATATTGGATTTAGTAGTACATAGTGCTTTGGTTATTTGTTAATGGTCATGGTGCGCGTTTGTTGGATTAACTATCATAAAATGTTTGGATGCTAGTTTAAATAGTAAAGCGTAGGGAACTTGAACGTAAACATAATCATTATAACAATTTGTATTCGTAATTAGATTGATACATATTTTGCATAGTTATTGTAAAGAAGCAGATTTGTTCCCGTGTAATCTAGGAGTTGAGAACTCGTTACAATTGTTGAGTATAATACTTTCTGATATGAAATCGTTTCACGGTAAAAAGGGTTTTAGAAAGTTTCCATTGTCTGGTCCGAGGTCTGAAATCGTAATATTGTGATATACAAGTTATTACTAAAACATAAATTCGACGTTTAGTCATTCAATTGTTTTCTTTGGTAATAAAATCTTTTAACTTTAAGGTTCACGCTGAAGATATTCAGGTCTTGTCGGCCTGGTTACATAGCGAGCTGAAATTATTTGTTATATTATAGGATAGTACTGTTGAGGGTATAAAAAAGAAATTTGCAGACAACTGCGAGGCAAGAGCTGCACGACATGTTGGATTCATTGTAGCGTAGAGTTTGAGCAAAGATATTATCATAAAGAGCATTCGATTAAGGTTAGAAACGATGATTTGATATACAAATCGTTTCAAACCTTAATCGTCATCTTGTCTTAGCTAGCATGTTCTGGAGTTCACTTTATGATAGTCTCTCTGCAGTCTGCTCTTACACCGCAATTTGTCCAGCATGTCGTGCAGCTCTAGCCTCGCAGTTTTTAATGTCTGCAAATTTCTGGATCATTCTGAGCCGTGGCACGTGACGGCACACTCCTGCATATCATGTACATATAGCATACACTGTAAAAATAACGCAGTCTGCTCTTCTAATGACCACTGTCACGTGACCCTACTCCGTCATTCACCCGCACACGTGACTTTGTCCGTTTGCTGCTCTGATTGGTTGCAGCTGTCCACGTGGCAGGTGTGTAATTGGTTGGTTAAGTTAATTGCATTGAGACGGAGTTTCCTTGACCAGGGAACGTATGGAAGATCTGAGATTGCTAATTGGGCGATGGTTGATTATACCGCGTACATCTAGTTCCACCACACTTCAGTCTGATTAACACTAGTATAAAAAGTGAAATGTCTTCACAAATATGGGCCATGGGGAGTGCTTAAAGTTCATAATTTCTGATAATTCCGTAAATTTCTCTTTTCAGGTTAAGATAACTGTTCAGCGTTTCAATGTGTTCGCATGATATGTTCTCAGATTATTTGTTATAATTACTAGCAGGAACCCGTCTAACCCTAAAGTGGTGTCAAGACTCGAGAGACTAAAATAATTATTACCTATTTAATTCGCGTTTTTGACACCACTCGGGAGTCCAAATTTTGGGCACTAAAATTATTATTCCTTGGCCAATTTTTTATTTTTTCATGCTGATTTGAAGGCCATTAAAGCATTTGACCCAGTCAAAAAAGTTTCAGTTTTATATCTTTTACGGTTTTTGCGGAAAGTTGCGTTAAAGTTGATGCCGTGGTGTCAGTAAAATGGCATGGATATATATATATATCGTCTCGCTTTATATATAGTAAGATATAGCCTTTATAATTGGTGTATTAGCTGTCTGTGAGAACGAGTCAAGGGGGGCCAATGGATATTTTTTTGTGAAACTTGATTTCGAGATAGCAGTTGATCAACAAACTAGGACCAGTGATCATAATTTTGAGGGGGTCCCGGACCCCAACCGCCAAACGGTGCCCGCGGGGCAGCCACGCCCATATTTGGTCCATATCAGGCCCAATTTAGCCAAATACCCTGAACATGCCCAAAACCCAAATTTTAGGTGCTCTACTTGTAGCTAGTAGTCTCCTGAACTCGTATATGAAATTTCATCAAGATTGGACAAAAAATGACTGAGTTATGAGCCAAAAACTATATGCCCATATTTGGGCATACGCACCAAATTTGGTAGATTTCGTCCCATAAATTGGTCAAATATCAATATTTTCCACTGAAACTTACTTTATATGAAAGGTAAGCCTAAACTACATATTCTCTGTAAGTTATAGCTTTATATCTGTTTAAATGTGGATACTAAGGCGAAAAGACCACAAAAAATGAACTAAATTGCCCATATCTTGGTTCGCGATATTCGCGGAATTGATCTCATTAAAATTGTAACAACTCGATCAGTTTTCAAAATTTTTCCATGAAATTTTCGGAATCGACTCGAAATCTTTTTTTTTTGATTTAGGCCTCCAAAAAAAATTAGGCGGCCAAATTCCAAAATTTTCCCGGAGAAATTCAGAATTTGGCCGCCAAATTTTTTTTGAGGCCTTAATCAAAAACCTGTTCTCAAACTAAGGTGGAAATGCGATTTCGAGTCGATTCCGAAAATTTCATGGAAAAATTTTGAAAACTGATCGAGTTGTTACAATTTTAATGAGATCAATTCCGCGAATATCGCGAATCAAGATATGGGCAATTTAGTTCATTTTTTGTGGTCTTTTCGCCTTAGTATCCACATTTAAACAGATATAAAGCTATAACTTACAGAGAATATGTAGTTTAGGCTTACCTTTCATATAAAGTAAGTTTCAGTGGAAAATATTGATATTTGACCAATTTATGGGACGAAATCTACCAAATTTGGTGCGTATGCCCAAATATGGGCATATGGTTTTTGGCTCATAACTCAGTCATTTTTTGTCCAATCTTGATGAAATTTCATATACGAGTTCAGGAGACCACTAGCTACAAGTAGAGCACCTAAAATTTGGGTTTTGGGCATGTTCAGGGTATTTGGCTAAATTGGGCCTAATTTGGACCAAATATGGGCGTGGCTGCCCCGCGGGCACCGTTTGGCGGTTGGGGTCCGGGACCCCCTCAAAAGTTCGGTCACTGGTCTTAGTTTGTTGGCCAACTGCTATCTCGAAATCAAGTTTCACAAAAAAATATCCATTGGCCCCCCCCCCCCCCCCCCCTTAAACAGGTATGTGGTGCGTGTCTGGTGAGATATGTCTAATTGGAGAGAAACCTTACAGTGTTTACCGACCTCACTAGTTTACAGACCTCTAAACCTTGCCAAATACTCCGTAGTACATAGTACATAGTACCCCAAAACCCACTTCAAACCGATTATATGCGGCAGGTTAATATGCACATGTTGTGCACATAGTTAACATGCACATGTTGTGCACATAGTTAACATGCACATGTTGTGCTGTGTGCACATAGTTAACATGCGCATTCTGTACACATTAACCCAGACAAGTAGTCTACGTGATCCTACCCTTGGCCTTAACCCTAATATAAATATTTCCGTGTATGTCCTCTCTCTCTCTCTCTCTCTCTCTCTCTCTCTCTCTCTCTCTCTCTCTCTCTCTCTCTCTCTCTCTCTCTCTCTCTCTCTCTCTCTCTCTCTCTCTCTCTCTCTCTCTCTCTCTCTCTCTCTCTCTCTCTCATCCTAAACCGTCTAAATGTTCTGTGTAACTAAAATTCTATATATTCTACCATGGCGAGAGTAATGTGTAGTCCAGTGAATAAGCTCCACAAACTTAATTATACAGCGTATGCGTGGTGGTTATAAATATATTTCTGTGCACAACTCATTACTCTATAATGGGTCTTATCACTAGACCAATTATATAATACACTAGAACAGGTAATAGCAATTATTGATGTTCAATTGTTGGTCTACAAGTTAGTAGTTACCTCTACATCAGACTCAACGTTGAAAAGCCTACATATAATAGTACTATTGCACGCTTTACTTATACTTACTATGAGACTTAATTTTCAGCCAATATTATTTTGATAGTTCTATAAAACTGTAAGCAAGGTATCTATTTTGGGCATGTAATATTGAAAAGCTCTAACAAAATTTATACTCATTTAATTATCTCATCAAATATTTAGGTTTATTTCAATAAAACAGTTACGTTTTCGACTAGGCTTCTTTTAATTATCAACTAAATTTAGATCTCCCCAAAACCTCATTATTTTGTCAGTGTGACACTATATTAAATGCACAATTTCGCCAATTATACTGTAATAACCGGTTCAAATTGAAACACAGATTTAATCCACCAAAATTCAATAATTACCGGGCCCCAGCGCACAATTGAATAACATCACCGCAATTATGTTTGGTATTAAAATGAGCACATTTGCTGGTCCAGATAAGCCCTATCCAGCTTTACTCTTCTGCCCACAGCTGTCAGCTACAAAATCCTGTCTATTTACTCAATTATACGCAACATGGAAATGTAAAATGTTACGAAACCGGAAAAGCAGATCTTCTACCTCCTATTTGTGTAGATTTACAGTCAAAAGCATTAGGAACTCACCTGTTTTGTCAGATGGAAATATGTGTAATTGCTAACACAGGAAAATAGATAATGATAGATTAGCCAATTTGGAAAGCTGGAGGAAGTTTCCTCTGACGTTTTTAAGTTATTAACTTAATAATGTAAAGATAAGAACTTAATAATGTAAAGATAAGAACTTAATAATGTAAAGATAAGAACTTGATAATGTAATTGCGATAAGAACTTGATAATGTAGATGTGATAAGAATACAGTGTACGATCAGTCTCTGGAATTTAGCGTATGCAGGGAAAAGCAGGTATCTAAGATACTGTTAACAGACGTAGTAATAATCGTATGGAAATTAAGGATCGTCACAGGGTTTAACACATTTACACATGTTAAGGATCGTCACAGGGTTTAACACATTTACACATGGTCTCTAACTTTGTGTAGTCCAACCAGACACGTAGTGATCTAGTCGGGGATATTTCTACTCCCTGGTGAGCATACGAGAGTTGAGAAAGGAAACTGAAGTAACATTGTTTGTCAAAATACAGAGATAAGATGTTTAACATATTCTCGAGGGAATTGAAGATAACGATACTGCACACCCAATACCAACTCTTATGGTTTCTTGACAGGTTCTTCCCTTCAAATATAGCTAAACATCACAACCATTCCCCGGTAATCGTGCATCGGATTTGTATCAAGTGTAAGTTTGCACACTTCATGATTACTGAAGAATGGAATGAAAAAGAAGCATACCTTTTTATTAACCTTCTAGAAACACACATATATCCTGATGTTGTCTCTCCGTCCCGTACATGTGCAAGTTGATTTCTGTTAAACTCCCGCGCTTTTTCCTTAATGGGCTGCTTGTAAAAGTCAGATGAATTAACAAGTATGCATGTAAGAAATTTCCGCACTACGGTCGGTAATGTCAAACCATCAGACAGACTCTCACTCTGTAGCTAAGCTCTCTTTTTATATTCTCTAGCAATGGGAACCTGTGGTAAAGCCATGAAACCACCAACTGTGCTGAGCTTAACCAATCACTGTTGG